AGTTAGATGCTCGCCTGCAGATCCAAAGGTCGTGGATTCAAATCTGGACGGTGCTGGACTATTTTTTTTTTTTTAAATGGCCTTGGCTCCTAGGTTGACCCAGCCTTAAATGGGAACCAAGTACCAGTCATGGGAAGTAAAGGCAGCCGGCGTGATGATATACCCACCAAGTGCCGACTGATCTATAAAAATATTGCCCTGTGTGCTCAATATGCCTGAAGGCATGGGAAAAAAGTCCTGTATATTAAATTTTGTTCAAAGTATTAAAGGGGAAGTAATCAATATATAAAACTGTGGAAAATTTAATGGTTTTCATTCACTTGGGCCCAACATTTATGCAGTGACTTGTACTGTGATCCCATATTTATGTAGCCGCTAACACTTGAGGCACACAATGACATCATAATGCTATATTTAGTAAATATAGTTATACCCAGTCCTCCTAAATAAGCACAAACAGAACCAATGTCATTAACAAGGCTTGTCAGAAACAGGCCAATGCAGCAATGCCAGATTAGTGGCTTTTAAGAGCATCTGTAATGGAAGGTAAGTAAAGTAGGTAAAGATCACTTTTCATGCCTTCAGGTGCATCGGGCATATGGGAAAAGCACTCATATTTTTACAGACCAGTCGGCACTAGGTGGGTAATGTGGTCAGCATCCTGGTACCCATTTAGGCTGGGTCGACCTGCGACGCCCCATACCAAGATAAACATTCACGCAGCCAGCAGTGGGTTTCGATCACAGTACCTTGGAATTACGAGTCGGATTTGCAACGCCTAAGCCACGGATGCGGATGCAATGGAAGGAGATGCCAGATTATTGGCATCTCAAGGCGAAAAGATTATGACATTCCATTTGTCCTGCCACAGCACAGTTACGAAAAAAAAAAACGGAAGACTTACTTGAACAAAGTAGTAGAGTACACCTATAGGTAGCAGGAAGGCCAGGAAGATGGGGGTGCTGTAGGAGATGACGATGATGGTGGAGGCCACAAAAAACACGCAGTCCATCCACATGATGAAGGTCATGGGTATTTCATTGTCCACATCATCCAGGTCTTTGGAGAAGCGGTTGATGATCCGTCCCATGGGAGTAGTGTCAAAGAAGGACATGGGTGCATGGAGCATTCTGGCCAGCATGGATCCGTGGAGCAAGCGGGAGGCAGCCACAGCTCTCAGGCTCTCCACCATGGAGAAACCGATGACAAACACGGCTGTGAACACAAGGCAAGGATGCAACAGGGCTGGGAAGAAATTTTCTTTAAAATGTCAGTGCATGAATGAGGTACCATCTCCACAATAAAGGTTGGCTGCAACAGATTTCTTTCTGCGATGCTCTCAGCAGACGACTAGCAACTGTGCTGAGAGAGATCGAGCCATATGGGATAAAAACCTGGTGCAATGAATTAAATCCTCCTGACTTTAACTTTATTGTTTAGAGATACAGATATAAACTGAGCATACTCAACTATTTGCAGATATAAACTGAGCATACTCCCCTATTTGTAATGAATATTTAGTTGTTGCTGATGATGTTTATTAAGCCCTCTTCAAAGATGTATCAATGTATGACAGGAACAGAGCCAGAAGGGCTAATATGTGCCAACTCTTAACCCTTTGAAAATAAAGTCTATTCATTTTTTAGTAAGTCTGTTCATTCTTTAGTTGACTTTTCTAAATATGTCTCATCATAGTGGTTTCACCTGCCAGATAACTTCAACATTAAAACCAAAACCATGCACACACTCCATGTACTTCAGACAGAGATATGGATTTTTCTTGGAGAGATCTCAGATAAGTGATTAAGTAACACTATCTATTCATGACATGTGCTGATGAAGGTATTCTAGCCGGATTACTTCCTTGTTGATTTTGATTGTGATACTGTAAAGCTGAATACTACTTTTCGTTTGGTTTGATATCTCTTCAAGATACACTTACTTTGAATCCCCATGTGGATTCCGAGGCCCCAGTATGGGGGGAAAGAGGAACAGACCCACTGCCTACCCTAAAGCATGTTGTAAGAACTGAATAAAATGGGAGCTTCTTTCAAAGTCATAGTGCGTCTGTCTGAGAGGTAAGGAACCATCAGTATGCATACAAATGAGTGAGTTCTGTAAAACTGATGTGCACGCAACACTCAGGATCTGAACAAAACTAAAGAACTTTCCACCAGAGTTTACAGCCACTGAACACGAAGAAGAAGTACAAAAACTTACTCTGAAGAAAGCCAAACATGCCATAAATGGCTATATAGTAATCGTTCTGGTGTCTGCGTGCAGAGCTGTCAGGTGGCCACTTGGTAAAGTTGGCCAGGTCCGGGTCATCTGTCCAGGTGCTGAGGAAAATGAGGGCACTCATACTGCTGCCGGTGTAGAAAGCATACAAGAGAACGATCAGCAACACATAGACGTAGCCCACAGACTTGATGTACTCCTTGAACACACCAAATTTCACCTGCAAATGTTGATCACACCTGACTCTTTTTCCGTCTGACAAAACAGTACATATTTTTAACAGTATAGTAGGGTAAGTAAAAGAGAGCTGCCTGGGTGTAGCAGCTAGACGCTCGCCTGTGGATCGGAAGGTCGTGGGTCAGGTCCTGATGGAGCCAGAATTTTTTTTTTTTTTTAATGACACAACTCCCAGGTTGACCTAGCCTAAAATGGGTACCAAATACAGTCCTGGGAAGTAATGGCGGCTGGCAGGACGGTGACCATATCACCACCAAGCGCCAATTAGTCTATAAAATATAGGTCTAGCCCTATATGCCCAACATGCCTGAAGGCACGGATAAGGTCCTTTATTTTCACTTTACTGAGAAAATAAGGACCCTTTTCACACCAGTGACAAATCATCATTTGACACTAGAGTCCTATTTTGTAGACCAATCAGCACTCAATGGGTGATGTGGTTGAATGTGCAGCTGGTTCTGAAAGCTGCTGTGACTGCCTCTGTCTCCATCCTCAAACCAGATGTTGTAGTATCACAGGCTGTGTTGCCCTGAGTGCTGTCCATTCGCTTTCACAATGAACTTCTTCTGCCTTCTGCAAGCCCTATATGACATATAACTGCACAGTAGGACTATGATGATGATGATAATGATGAATGTTAACCATGTTTTCTTCCAGAAGTAACATGCCAAAGGCAAAATGATTCTCATAGGAGATGCTGAATGCTGTGCTGCACTTTTTCTCCTTCACATTCACCAGCTGTAAACTCTGGCAGAAAGTTCTGGTTAATTATCCACTTCTGGACTTTGTCTTGTTCCAGAACCTGAGTGTTATGTGCACATCTTTTTAATAGATCTGGTTTATTTGTATGCAGACTGTTGTTTCCTTGACTCTCTGTCAGATATACTGTAACTTTGAAGGAAGCTCCCAATGACACTTATGACATGCTTTTGGGCAGACAGTGGGTCTATTCTTGTTTTCCCCACAATGGGGCCCTGGAACCAACACAAGGATGTTAAGTACTTCAAATATACCAATTTAATGAGGTCAGGTAATCATCATCATCAATCAGCAGATCCAATACAGAAAGTCGCTCTCTTCACGGCCTGGCTGAACAGCTCTCTCTCTCTAGCCAATTGTCCAGCCCATGTGCTTTCATAGCAAATGCATCTTTAATGTCTTCTATCCACATAGCCAAGGTCCACCTCTGCCTTGTTTTCTAAAAACTGTACCCTCCAAGGTAATTAGTTCTCTTTCATACTCTTTCCCCCCACTCTGCCCCCCCCCCCCCCCCCATGTACATAATTTTATAGTTTGACAAAGTTTCAATCCCAACACTTGATGTCTCCTGATTTACACTGGTCACACAGACAGTCTACCGATCATGCAGTATTCCTAAAAATCTACTGAAATATTCAGTACCTCTTGCAATCTACTGAAACATTCAGGATCCTCTGAAATCTACTGTAATAAACAGAATGCCTTCAAACTGACTGAAATAGACAGTGGCCCTTGCTTCTTCTTAATTTCCTCCAGTCACCTCAGCGAAATGTTGGGAGAAGATGTAAGGATCCTTTAAGTCATCTTTCTAACCTGTTGTGGAAGCTGGTCTCCCTTTTTAATACTGTTGGAGCCTGACATTAGATGCTACATAGCCTGTGCACTGCGCTGAGCTTCTTCGGACTCAGACTTGAGTTAGAAGAAGAACGGAGCACTTGTGGGTCATGTGCCATGATGTTGATTCGTTGTTCAAACCTCAAACCCCAAGGCTGTTCTTGATGCTGTTGTTCCATCTTCCACATGATCTTCTCCTTGCTGTGTGTCCATTACACTGTCTCCCTTGCAATAAGCTGAAACACACAGTCTCCAATTCAATCCATATCTACCCTGTGGTGTAGAGCTTTGCCAGAAAGATTACTAGACTTCTCTTTCAGCAGATTTCTTTTTGATTTTGTTCCTTCCAGTCCTCTGACAGGTAAGGACTGTCGAATGTTGTCTTCCCAGTGAACTCTGGGTTGTCCTGGAGCTCTCCCTTGCCAGTTCTTGACCTCCCATGCCTGCTTGGTGGCCTGTATCAACCGTGTAACTTATTACTCCCAGAAACAGCTGTACAAAAGTTCAATTGCTTGGAAATAAGAAACAGACAAGGAACCACAAGTCTGTACACAAATAAGCCAGATCTGTGAAACGGATGTGCACACAACACTAAGGTTCTGGAGCAAGACTAAAGTCCAGAGGTGGGTGAACACCCAGAACTTTATGCTGGAGTTTACAGCCGTTAAACAAGAAGAAGATGAAGAAGAGGAGGATACAAGAAGCAAATCTACAGTGACTGTACTAGAACTTACATTGCCAACCCCAACTGTCTCTTCTTCTATGAGGCCTGACTGCTCACTTGACTGATGTACCAATGTCTTACCCTTGCCTTCCTCTTTGGAAATCTCTGAATGCTCAATGATCTGAGAGACCCTGAAGCAACAAGAAAATATGTACTTTCAGACTGCGTGAGAAAACTCATAAAATAACTCATAACTAAGCACTGTGTAAATTTTAGCAGTTTTAGTGACAGTACGGTGACTGTAAGTGACATTCTTGCCAGGACGGCATTTTTATTTAATGAATTCTTTTAAAGGTAGGCCCAAACTGTCATGGCGATACTCAAGGTCGACTGGAACAATGGAATTCTGCTGTTGCAGAGTAATGATGGGACGGTCTGCACCTACCTAAAAGAAATTGTACTGTCCTGAAGATACTCTTTTTCTTTTTCAACATTCTGAACCCTTGAGGTTCATTGCTGCAGATATCTCACCAGCCTTTATTCATCACTCTGGTTGGCCTTCACTTTCCAGTTGGTGACATCAAATGTTTGCAGATCTATCTGGACATTTTTTTCCCATCGTCTTCTTGGTCTGCCTCGTGGTCTATGACCATTCTGCTCCCTTGTGTGTACAATTTTTACCTCTCTGTCATCTGACATTCTGTCAATATGCCCCGGTCATTTCAGTCTATTAGCTCCTATGATGCCTGTGTCAAGAAGATATGGTCACCCTAAATGACAGCATTAAAAGCATTATAAGTCTTTGGTTAAACACTTGCAATGAAATCAAAGTAAAACAATTTAAAAGCATGCATCTTTTCTGTAGCAACATAAGGATGTGAGTTGTGTACTATCCTGCAGTCACTGAGGAAGAAATTATGGGCTTCTGATTAAATTCTAGAGAAAAATTATCAAAATACCAAGGACCAACAAGAAAAGAAATACTAGCATCCTAGAAGATCTGTACATCAAGGAAGATTGCCTAGTAAACAGCATCTTGTCTTGGAAACTGACAGATTTTGGCCATATCAAAACGGTGGATTTGAAAAGAATAATAGCAGAAGGGCATGGTACCAGAAAAGAAGGGCAGGGGCTGACCAGCACAAAGATGGGCACATGATATAGGGAACTCCTAGGGTAGAAAAGCACACAAGATGGGAGAGCTGGCAAGAGACAAGGTTTCTTACGGGCAGACTGTGATGAGAGCTAGGTTCTGAAAAGAACCTGCCCCATGATGATGATGAAAGTGAAAGTTGGGGGCAGTGACCTGGTTATCTAATAGGAGTTGATCTCTCTTAACAGAATGGCTCGCCGCCTACTGAGACAGCGTAACATAAAGCACAAACTCTGTAGCTTCAGCGGTGATCCCCATGGATCCTAGTAAATAATGTACTCATCGACTGAATGATGATTCAGCAAAATGAATCCATGAACTTCAGATGCCACAGAGTTTGACCACTCCATCACTGGGACCCACCAAATAAAAATATTACCAGTTTAACAATTTAAAGTTTAGGAGAGCTCCACTTGCAAGAAGTTCACCTAGAGTCATCTCTCTTTCCCTGGTATGTACTCTTCTTCTTCTTCTTTGCATTCACCAGCTGTAAACTCTGGCACAAATTTCTGGTTGTTCATCCACTTCTGGACTGCAGTCATGTTCCAGAACCTGAGTGTTTACAGATTTGACTCCTTTGTATGCAGCCTGCTGGTTCCTTGATTCTCAGGCAGATGCAACCCAACTTCGAAGAAAGCTCCCAATTAGTCGAATCTTGTGGGTCTATTCTTGTTTGTATATCTTCGTTTGTGTCTGTGTGTGTCCTCGTATGTGTTCGTCTGCATGTTTGCCTGTGTATGTTTATGTGTTTTGTCTGCGGGTGTGTCTATGAGGCTGTATGTATGTATGTCTGTGTGTGGGTGTCTGTATGTCTGTCTGCGTGAGTGTATGTGTCAGCATGTGTCTGTCTGTGTATGTCTGTGTGTGTTTCTCTGTGTGTATTGTGTGTGCCCCTTTGTTGTCTGTATGTGTCTGCATGTCAGAGTATATGTCTGTGCGTGCTGAATATATGTGTCTGCGTGTGTATTTCTATGTGTTTGTATGTGTATGCATTTCTGCGTGTTTGTCTGTGTGGGTGTCAGAATGTGTTTGTCTGCCTGTTTGTATTTTTGTGTGTGTGTGTGTGTGTTTGACTGCGTGTGTGTCTATGTGGCTGTATGTATGTGTCTGCATGTTTGTCTGCGTGTGTGTGTGGTGTGTGTGTAAGTGTGTGAGCACGAAGGTAAATATGTGTGCTGTGTGTTTTCCTGTGTGGGTTTATATGTCAGAGTCTGTGTGTGTATTTTTGTCTAAGTGAGCGTGTGTGTCTTTGTGGGAGTGTCTCCATGCATGACTGTATTTATGACTGTATGTTTGTATGTGTGTATGCCTGTATTACGAATGTATGCCTGTATGTATGCCTGTATGTTTGTATCTATGTATGTTTGTTTGTATGTATGTATGCCTGTGTGTATGCTGTTTGCATGTTTGTTTGTATGTATGTACGTATATATGTATGTATGTAATGTTTGCATACATGTATGTGTGTGTGAGTGGGTGATCATGTGTATGTGGGTGTATGTATGCACGCGCGGGTTTTTGCATGCACTTTACAACTCATGCTTTTGTGTTCTTTTATAATATTCATAATATGCATATTATCATATGATCATAACATGCTTTATTAGTAAAAATACAACTGCTGTGCGAAAAATGGTTGACTGGAAGGGCCGAATGTAAGACGGGCCTGCGCGCCCAATTTGTGACCCTTTGAAAATAAAGTTTGTTCGTTTGTTCGTTCGTTCGTTCGTTCCCCACAATAGGGTCCCGAAACCCACACAGGGACCTGGTATGTACAACATGTTATGAATTCATTCCCTGTGAGTAAGTTATGCTGAGTTTGGCTGTAATGAAGCAAAACATATTTATCATTTCTCCTCACTGACAGAGAAAGGAAAGTCTGTTTGACTATTACAATGGATGAGTTTATAAACGGTCATTCCTTCTCTGTAACTTACGTGAAAGATAAATGCTTTAAAATGTCCTTAGGAGATACTGGAAGTTCAGACGACTCTCCCTCATCTTCTGTCTCTGAGAGTGTTCTTAGAACTTGCTGCTTCAGTTCTTGCACTGAAACCAAACAGACAGAAGCAATAACAGGCACATATATATATGTAGATATATATTATATATATATATAATATATATTATAGTGATATATATATATATATATTATATATATATATATATATATATATATATATATATATATATATCTATATATATATATATATGTATATATATATATATATATATATATATATGTATATATATATATATATATATATATATATGTAGATATATATACATATAAGTGCAGTTGGTTGGTACAAAAAAATAAGTCAGTACAAGAACAAAATAGGCTAGTACAACAGCATTACAAACCCAAAAGAAACACATCAAAGGCATACAATAATATAAGGGGGTTGTACAAGAATACATCAAGTTGGTTCACAATTAATGCACCTTTCAAATCAATTGTTCAATTCAAATCATTATTGATGTACAATGATGTGAGTACCTCCATGGAGGTTATCTGTGGTAGATCTCTCCTTGTAATGAAATCCATCACTGTGTAACACTGATGTGAGTACTCTTACACAGATGTGCTTGGGTGGTACACAGATCTCTTGTCTGTACTATGAGGTGATACAAGGATACACACATTGAAACTGTGTACACAGATGTGACGCTATGCTACAAGAGGTGATACTGTGGTACAAGGATGTGATACTGTGGAACAAGGATGTAATACTGTGGTACCAGGATGTGATGCTGTGGTATAAGGATGTGATACTGTGGTACAAGGATGTGATCAAAGGATGTGAACTGTGGTACCAGGATGTGATACTGTGGTACCAGGATGTGATACTTTGGTACAAGGATGTGATGCTGAAGTATAAGGATGTGATACTATGGTACAAGGAGGTGATGCTGTGGTACAAGGATGTGATACTGCGGTACAAGGATGTAATAGTGTAGTACAAGGAGGGGATGTTATGGTACAAGGATCTGTTGCTGTGGTACAAGGATGTGACACTGTTGTACAAGGATGTGATACTGTGGTACAAGGATGTGATGCTGCAGTACAAGGATGTGACGCTGCGGTACAAGGATGTGATGCTGTGGTACAAGGATGTGATACTGTGGTACACTGATGTGATACTGCGGTACACAAATGTGATACTGTGGTACAGGGATGTGATGCTGTGGTACAAGGATGTGATACTGTGGTACACAGATGTGATACTGCAGTACAAGGAGGTGATACTGTGGTACACAAAGGATGTGATACTGTGGTACACAGATGTGATACTGTGGTACACAGATGTGATACTGTGGTACACAGATGTGATACTGTGGTACACAGATGAGGTGATGCTGTGGTACACAGATGTGATACTGTGGTACACAGATGTGATACAATGAGGTGATGCTGTGGTACACAGATGTGATGACTGTGGTATAAGGATGTGATACTGTAGTACAAGGATATGTAATGCTGTGGTAGAAGAAGAATGATACTGTTGTATTTGGATATAAGATGTCAGTACAATAAGATAACCTACTACTACACAACCTATAACTTGCTGAAACATTTGACAACAAAAGACACACAGTTCTTCATGTGACATATCTTACGTTCTTCATTCTGTGCATTGTCGTTGTCATTCTCCTGTGTGAGGAATGTGCTGATCAACCTGGCAAAATCCCCTTTATGGGACAGAAGCCTCTCATAGTGGCCTGCCTCGGACACCTGACCCTCGGACATCACAATGATATGGTCAGTGAATGCCAGGTACTGAATGCCATGTGTCACCAATACACGCGCCTGAGAACACAGGTAAACTATAGCTGAATACGTCTACTTTGTAACTGATCATATTTTACACTACATACTCATACATACATATGTTTGTATAAATGATGTGAGGTGTACAGTGTGTGTTTGTATGACATTTACATGTCTAAGGAAGAGATGAGTTGCAATGTCTATGTTACGTATTGTACATACATGTTTATAGAAAAAATGAGTTGTACTGTCTGTGTTATGTATGGTACATACATGTGTATAGAAAAGATGAGTTGTTCTCTATTATGTATTGTACATACATTTGTATAGAAGATATGAGTTGTACTATCTGTGTTACGTATTGTACATACAAGTGTATAGAAAAGTTGCACTATCTGTGTTACATATTGTACATATAAGTGTATAGAAGAGATTAGTACCATCTGTGTTACATATTGTACATAGATGTGTATAGAAAAGATGAGTAGTATTATCTGTGTTACGTATTGTACATACATGTGTATAGAAAAGATGAGCTGTACTATCTGTATTATGTATTGTACATACAAATAAATAGAAGAGATGAGTTGTACTGTCTGTCTGTAACAATACAAAATTTAACTGAGATGAGAGAATAAGGATTAAAGTAACAATTGTGCCCTAGTGAAGGTGAGAGAGTAAGGGTTACGGTAACAACTGTATGCTAGCAAAGGCAACTGAGATGGATCAGTATTGGTTAACTGTGTTCTAGTCAATTGCTGCTTCATGTAAACTCTGGCAGAAATTCATACATTGAAACTGTGCGATGTGACATTAAGGGTTAAGAATTGTACTCTAGTGAAGATGAGAGATGGGCTGGTAAACTGTGCACTAGTGAAGGTTAGAGATGGGACAGTAGGGGTTTAGAATTATACACCTGTGAAGGTGAGAGATAGGACAATAAGTGTTAAGAATTGCACATTAGTGAAGGTGAGATATGGGACAGCAAGGGTTAATAATTGTGCACTAGTGAATGTGAGAGATGGGGCAGCAAGGATAAAGGATTGTGCACTAGTGAAGGTGAGAAATGGGACAGCAAGGGTTAATAATTGTACACTAGTGGATGTGAGAAAAGGGCAGTAAGGGTTAAGAATGTTGCCCTAGTGAAGGTGAGAGAGTAAGGGTTAAGATAACAACTGTATGCTAGCAGGGGCAACTGATACGGAACAGCATGGGTTAACAGAGCTTTAGTCAATTTCTTTATCATGTAAACTCTGGCAGAAATTTCTGAATTTTCATTAATTTTTGTACTTCTGTCTTGTTCAAGGGCTTGAGTGTTACATGCACAACCATCTCACATATTTATGTGCAGACTGCTAGTTCCTTGCCTCTTAGGCAGATACACGCTGATGTTGACAAACACCTGGATTTTCATTCATTTCTGGACTTTTGTCTTGTTCAAGGGCTTGAGACATTACATACACATTCCTCCTACAGATCTCACATATTTATGTGCACACTGTTAGTTCTGTGCCCCCCCCCCTTTCCCCTCCCCAAACAGTTGGGAACCTGTTTCTAGGACAACCACAGAGAGCTGTGGACAGGTCTCGACCAGTATGAACTCTAGCCCTGGTGCGCCACTAGGTGTGAGTTCAGCCCTTCTGCATCCCATTTTCTGTCAAACAAAATCAATGAGCACCAACCTTGCCTTGAAGAAGTCCGGCATGTCCAATGACATGATCAAAGATATGCTGCCCCACATGGGAGTCCACTGCACTCAGTGGGTCGTCTAAGAGGTAGATGTCTGCCTGGGCGTAGACGGCTCTGGCTAGGGACACACGCTGCTTCTGTCCTCCAGAGAGATTAATCCCCTGGGTATACAGAACAATGAATGTAGGGTAATAAATTATGACTAACACAGGTTGTTGTTTTTTTAAGTGTCTTTTTTATGTCTGCCTCATAACCCTTTTGTTCTAGTGCCATGTATGAGGTCCCCCCTCATTATACTTTTGTTCTAGTGCCACGTATGAGGTCTGCCCTCATTATACTTTTGTTCTAGTGCCATGTATGAGGTCCCCCCTCATAACCCTTCTGTTCTAGTGCCACGTATGAGGTCCGCCCTCAATTTACTTTTGTTCTAGTGCCATGTATGAGGTCCGCCCTCATAATACTTTTGTTCTAGTGTCATGTATGAGGTCCGCCCTCATAATACTTTTGTTCTAGTGCCATGTATGTCCGCCATCATAATACTTTTGTTCTAGTACCATGTATGAGGTCCGCCCTCATAATACTTTTGTTCTAGTGTCATGTATGAGGTCCGCCCTCATAATACTTTTGTTCTAGTGCCATGTATGTCCGCCCTCATAACCCTTTTGTTCTAGTGCCATGTATGAGGTCTGCCCTCATAATACTTTTGCTCTAGTGCCACGTATGAGGTCCGCCATCATAATACTTTTGTTCTAGTACCATGTATGAGGTCCGCCCTCATAATACTTTTGTTCTAGTGCCATGTATGAGGTCTGCCCTCATAATACTTTTGTTCTAGTGCCACGTATGAGGTCCACCCTGATAATACTTTTGTTCTAGTGCCATGTATGAGGTCCGCCCTCATAATACTTTTGTTCTAGTGTCATGTATGAGGTCCGCCCTCATAATAATTTTGTTCTAGTGCTATGTATGAGGTCCGCCCTCATAATACTTTTGTTATAGTGCCATGTATGAGGTCCGCCCTCATAATACTTTTGTTCTAGTGCCATGTATGAGGTCTACCCTCATAATACTTTTGTTCTAGTGCCACGTATGAGGTCCGCCCTCATACTTTTTGTTCTAGTGCCATTTATGATATCTGGCCCCATAGCCCTTTTGTTCTAGTGTCATTTATCTCATCTTGCTGTTGTAAAGCATAATTTATAGTGTCTCCACAGTCCTTTTGTTCCAGTGCCATTTATAAATGTCTCCCCACAGACCTCTTGTTTTAGTATCATCTAACAAGTCTCCCCATATTCCTTTGCTCTAGTATCATCTATCAAGTCTCCCTATATTCCTTTTGCTCTAGTGACATCTAACAATTCTCCCCACATACTTTGTTCTAGAATCACTATCAAGTCTCTCTATAGTCCTTTTGTTCTAGTGTCATCTATCAAGACTGTCCACAGTTCTTTTGTTTTAGTGCCAGAGTACAGGGAACAATGAATTTAGGGCAATAAACTATGACCAGCACAGACCTTTTGTTCTAGTGTCATTTTCCAAGCCTCCCCCATAACCCTATTGTTCTAGTGCCACTCAAGAGGTCTTAACACAACTTGTTGGTTCCAGTGCTAATTATCAGGTCTCAACAAAACCCTACTGTTCTAGTGCCATTTACAAGGTCTCCCTCCAACTCTTTTGTTCTAGTACTATTTATCAGGTCTGCACACAATTCTGGTTCTTTACAGTTGTGTGTAATTTGGGCTAGTAACTATGCTCTGAAAAACGAATCAATTCTTGTGCTGATATAATGTATTAACATGAATCTAAACTATATTCTGTATCTACCATCCTCTATGTTATAGTAGTAAGCCTCATTTGGTCAGACAGGACTATAGAGCTATTAAGCAGGTACTTGACAGCTCTGCTGGTGACTAAATAAGTTTAATGCGAGAGTGACAGACTGTCACAACTTCTGCATCTGTAAGATGAGGCAGGGCCTGTAGCAAGTGGCTGCAATTTAAACGTGCCTCTTGTCTTCAGTTAGCTGGATGGGATTTTGCTCAAAGACGATCCACGTCCGCATCTCTTCTCCATGAATATCTGTCTGCAGAGACTCTTTCCCGCGTTTCTGTACCGATGCCAAAGGTTTTAATATCTTGTTTACAGATATCCATATATCGCATTTAAGGCCTTCCCAAAATTTCCACCACCTTACCTTGAATTCGAAACCAAGACTCCTGAATGAGAGTCCATCGTTCTAACCATGAAGCCAGCCACTCCTTTCTTCTTCTTAGAGTCTATGCCGTGTGGCGCTGGTAGTCATGTCTATCCACAACCTTCTGTCTCGTGTACTTTCAATCAACTATGACACTGATGATCCTCTATGCCGTTTGCATTGGTAGTCATGTCTATCCACAACCTTCATGTACTTTCAATCAACTCTGACACGATCCTCTATGCTGTGTGGCACTGGTAGTCATGTCTATCCACAACCTTCTGTCTCATGTACTTTCAATCAACTATGACACTGATGATCCTCTATGCCGTGTGGCATTGGTAGTCATGTCTATCCACAACCTTCTGTCTCGTGTACTTTCAATCAACTATGACACTGATGATCCTCTATGCTATGTGGCATTGGTAGTCATGACTATCCACAACCTTCTGTCTCATGTACTTTCAGTCAGCTCTGACACGATCCTCTATGCTGTGTCGCACTGGTAGTCATGTCTATCCACAATCTTCTGTCTCGTGTACTTTCAGTCAACTCTGACACGATCCTCTATGCTGTGTGGCACTGGTAGTAATGTCTATCCACAACCTTCTGTCTCGTTTACTTTCAATCAACTCTGACACAGATGATCCTTCATGCCATGATGTCAAACTGTCCAGCATCTTTTCTCTCAGTCTGTCTCTGTCTCTCCTCCCTTCCAACTTTCCTACTGTCATGATGTACTCCAGTTTTCTCCTTCTCATCACATGATCAAAGAATGTCGATGGTCTCTTTCTGATGTGAGCAATCAGTTCTCTTCATGAGTCAGTTTCTTTCAAGACATCTTTATTACTCTTGTTTTTTTTATGTCTAGGGTATTCTCATCATCCATCTATAAAACCACATCTTCGCAGCTACCAAATAATGTTTCACGAATCTACCAACTGTCCAAGATTCACTTCCATATTCACTCCTTTATGTTGTAGATAATAAGATATAAAGCTGATCTCCCTTTCATCAAGGTGTTTTTGTTTTTCTAATACAACATTAACCCTGTTACTCAAAGAAAGCAAGTTTTCCTAACTATAATAGGTTTCTGATGACAAGACATCTTTGAGCAGTGGCCAATACGTCTGTATAACAGCTTTGGTACTTGATGAAACTCTACAGTGTGTATACATGGTGGGTATGATCATATTCACCTGCCCATTTTAAGAAAAATTTTTTTTAGGGTAAACAAAACCATCATTTTTTTCATTGTGAAGTCATCACACACAAAAAACTGATAATGACGTCACTTTGTGCTCTGCAGCTGTGTCAACAAAACCTGTTGTCTTGATCAAAGGGAAGACAAAGCAGTTATTTCTTTGCTCTTTTTGTTGTAATTGATTAGTTCCCTTCATAAACAAAATCACCTTTATGCATTATAATGACTCCAAAAATGAAAAATACATTCTTTTAGTGATGCAATAGCTGTTAGGCAGGCACCGGACAGCACTGCTGGTGACTAGATAGTCTGATGTGAGAGTGTCAGACTGTCTGTTCGATGATCATAGATTTGATCAAAACTGTCTCTAAATTTCCACTGTTTCTTTTTCTCTTAATCTAGCTTCTTAATGTAGAGTTTCAGAGCGTTATAATAAAGCGATTCTTTTAAATTAAATTTAAAAAAAAATATCTATTTTTTATGTGGCGAAAAGGTTAAAATAAAAATGTCAAAACAAGTGGGTCATAAAATCATACCCGCTCCCCAATCTCGGTTCTATCCCCGGCTGGTAGCATGACCAGGTCAGGTCTCAGTGCACAGGCATCAAGACATTTGTTATACAGCTCTGTGTTCATTGGTTGTCCAAACAGGATGTTGTTTCTGACGGAATCATTCTGTATCCAGGCTTGTTGTGGCACATAAGCCACAGTTCCCTGAACAAATACAGTATCAACATTACTGGTGCAGAAGCTAAAATAAATGTTTACAAACTACAGTGTCCAAGTTATTGATATAGAAGCCTTTACAAACTGTTCATAGACCTTGTGTGCAGAGCCCAAGTTACTGATACAGAAATTGAAATAAAAAAAAAATGTTGACAAACTAAAACTAAAGTGCCCAAGAAACTGATAAGAAAACTAATAAAAAATGTTCACAAACTAAAACTACAATGTCCAAGTTCCCGATAAAACAACAAATAAAAAACATTCACAAACTAAAAGTAAAGTGCCCAAGTTACTGATACAGAAACTAATAAAAAAACTTTCACAAACTAAAACTACAGTACCCAAGTTACTGATCCAGAAGGTAATGAATAACATTCACAAACTAAAACTACAGTACCCAAGTTACTGATACAAAACTAATAAAAAATCATTCACAAACTAAAATTAAAGTTCCCAAGTTACTGATACAGAAATTAATAAAAAGCATTCACAAACTATAACTAAAGTGCCCAAGTTATTTATCCAGAAGGTAATGAATAACATTCACAAACTAAAACTAAAGTACCCAAGTTACTAATACAGAAGATAATAAAAAACATTCACAAACTTAAACTAGAGTGCACAAGTTTCTGATAAAGAAACTAATAAAAAATGTTCAGAAACTAAAACTACAATGCTCAAGTTACTGATAAAAAAGCTAATATAAAATGTTCATTAATTATAATTATAGTATTGTTTTTAATGACAAATACATTTACAAGCGTCGGCTCTGTAATGCTTCGTAATGCCGTGTTCGATCCCAGCTGCGGGCCATGTGCCTTGCGTTGGTTTCGACAGTGGTATCAAGAAAGCCGACCCTCCAGAAGGAAATGGCAAACTACAGAACGTAAATTTGCCTAGAAAAACCACACAACAGCCAGGGGCTGTTGCGGTTGGTTCTGCAACGTCCTGTAAAGGATACGCAACTAACCTAACATTTACAAGCACTGGTCCAATAAACGCAATGACTTTCATACTGACAGTTGCATCCTTGTTATGACAGAAACAGACCAACTTACCCGGACACTGACTGTTCCTTCCATCTTCTTCATGTCCCCCAGTATGGCAGATAGCAGTGACGACTTCCCACTGCCTACAGTGCCCACAATAGCAACCAGACTCCCCTCTTCCACGCTAATGTTGATGCTGGAAAGGCAAATAAGTCATCACATTCAGACAGGAAGGCATGGAACCAGGAAGGAGGGGACAGGGGCCAGTCAACATGAACATGGGTGCAGGATATAAGTGACTCCTTGAATATGCAAGTGCAAAAGTTGGGAGAACTGGCGAGAGACTGATTTTTTTTTTTCAGGCAGGCCACGATGAGAGCAACATTCTGCAAAGTACTTTCTACATGGCGATGATGCTGATTCAGACAAAACAGCTACATTATCAGCACAATTTTTGTTTTTATTGATGATGACAGAGCTTTTCTGTTCTTGCTTGGAGTGCAGACATAAGATCTGTTACGAACTTCTTTGACTTTGCTGGGTTGACAAACCAGAACTGTTTAGCTTGGAACCATCAAACGCAGAACCCAAAGCTGATCTGAGAAACAGAAGCAGGCAGTAAATCAATGAAACATCTAGACAGTTTCCATGACGACTGAAAGGTGGCGGTCCTTAAACCATTTTATAGGGTAAGTCAAGTAAAGGATCCTTTCCACACCTTCAGGTGTGTTGGGTACACAGCGCTAGACCTATATTTTATAGACCAATTGGCACTTGGTGGGTGATGTGGTCAGCATCAAGCTGGCCGCCTTTATTTCACTAGACTCCGCCTGGTACCTGTTCAAGATTGGGTCGACCTGGGAGACAATGTCATTTTTATCTAATAGGGTATTACATTCTAATCATCCTCACAGACCACATTAAACAAACAGAGACCACATCAGATAGCAAGGAGCATATCATACAGCAGAGAGCCCAACTAACAGCAAAGAACGTTTCAAACAGTAGAGACACCACATTAAATAACCGAAATCAAATCAAATGGTAGAGATCATATCAAACAGTAGACAGCATATCAAATAGCAAAGACCACATCAAAGTGAGGACATCAAACGGCAGAGAGCTCATCAAACAGCAGAGAGTACTTCAAACAGCAGACAGCACATCAAACAGCAGACAGCACTCAAACAGCAGACAGAATATCAAACAGCAGACAGAATATCAAACATCAAAGACCACATCAAACAGAGGACATCTGCAGAGAGCTCATCAAATAGCAGAGAGCTCATCAAACAGCAGAGCACTTCAAACAGTAGACAGCACCTCAAACAGCAGATCAAACAGCAGACAGCACCTCAAACAGTAGACAGCACCTCAAACAGCAGATCAAACAGTAGTCAGCACCTCAAACAGGAGACAGCACCTCAAACAGTAGACAGCACCTCAAACAGTAGACAGCACCTCAAACAGCAGACAGCACATCAAACAGCAGACAGCACCTCAAACAGCAGACAGCACATCAAACAGCAGAGAAGATTAAATAGCACCAACAACTTACTTCCTGAGAGTAGGGCTGCCTTGAGAACTCCAGCTAAACGTTCCAGTGGTGACACAGATAACATTGTCTGCAATCAATTGAACAGCTCTAGATAGAAACTACAGCTGAATATACTATCAACTGACAATCTGATGGTGCGGACAGCATCATATGTGACTAAAGTTGTCTTTCTTCTTGTACAAACAAGTAAAGGACCCTTTTTCATGCCTTGTGTGTTGGGCATATAGGGCTAGACCTCTATTTTAAAGACCAATCAGCACTTGGTGGATGATGTGGTCTGCATCATGCCGGCCACTTTTACTTCCCAGGACTTTTACATGGTACCCATTTAAGGCTGTGTTGATCTGGCACCATTTAAAAATAAAGAAAAAAGTCCAGCACCGTCCAGATCTGAACCTACCACCTTCAGATCTGAAGGCGAGCATCTAGCCACTACACCACAGCAGTTCCCTTGTACAAACAATCCGCGCCATATTTAGGCATACACAATATGCGCAGAGGTACAGGACGACAAAATTCTATTGGTGTTAAATTTTCGAGAGTGGCAAAATGTAACTACTGAAATTTGGGTTTTATTAAGTTGATATAGAAAAAAACTGTAAAATAAATGAATGCATGGGGGCAGGGCGGAAAGTGGGGGGGGGGGGGGGGGGGGGGGGGGGGGGTCCACCTAAATAAGGGGCTGCATACAAGACAAATTTCTTACTCTTGTTGACATTCTGGCACAGAATGAGACAAAACAGATTTCAATTAATAGATCGCACAATTTACTGCCTGGAATATTTTGCTGCACCTAGTTAGGTAGGTGCATACTACAATTACAGTAATGAACTCAAATATATTATAAAAGGACTTCAAATATATTTTAACATGACTTCAAATTTATCATAACATGACTTTCTTTTGAAGTCGGAGTGCATTTGTCTGATAGGAAGGGAACCAAGAGTCTGCAAACAAATAAACCAGAGTCTGTAAAGTGGATATGCACACAATACTCAAGTCCTGGAACAAGACTGAAGTCCAGTAATGGAAGAACAACCAGAACTATCAGCAACAAACAGTTTACAGCCAGTGAATGTGAAGAAGAAGATAACATGATTGTATGTGACTTTAAATGACAATCTGACCCATCAATATGATAATATGACTATATATGACTACACTATATGATAATATGACAATATGTGACTAAACTATATATTATGACCGTACATGTCTAAACTATATGATAATTTGACTATATGTGAATAAACTATATGATAATATGACCATATGTGACTAGATTATATAAGAATCTGACCACGTGTGAGTCAGGTTTATACCGAATGATTCATACGTAATGCCATTTTATGACCATTTAACAAGGGGGGGCTGCGAGGTCTTGAGGCATGGTATTCACCTCAAGTGCTAGAGGTTCCGGGTTCAATCCCCGGTAAAAGCTGGGATTTTTTTCACATGGACTTGGACTTCTAGTAATTTTCCCTGGACTCTGGGTGGTGAGATCGGACTGTTGCGAACATAACAAATCGCTTGGCAGTTGGAAATCAAAAGGGTAGCCTAACGGCCCTGCCAGGGCAAAATTTCGAGTTTAAAAAATCTACCCAAAGTATTTCAGGATCCACGCCGGTGCAACAGAGCATGTGCACTGTGCTGAGCTTCTTCGGACTCAAACTTGAGTTAGAGGAAGAACGGAGCATTTATGGGTTACTACCCATGTGCCATGATGTTGATCCGTTGTTGAAACCTCAAGCATTTAAGTGACCTGACATAAAAAGCCTAGGTGACTAAACTATAATTGAGGCAGTTTTCAAAGGAAATATGGGTGAGGCAGCCCCCTGAGCAAGATTTAATGGCAGTGACAGGCATGTGAGATTCACCATGATGGCTATGGCTATTACAGTGGAAAAAGAGGTTTCAGAGCAGCTTTACATATGTATTAAGCATAGGTATTAGGCATAAGTATTCGGCATGTAAAGCTAGGCATACATTTTTTATTACCCAATTAGCATTCAGCAGGTGATGTGGACATATTCCTCTCAGTTACTTTTACGTCCCAGTACATTTCCTGGTACCAAATTTAGGTTCCTTTGACCTGGAAGTCAATTTCAATAAACTGCACCATTGGGATATGATCATGTGACTACCAAACCGGTCTGCAAGATGCTAGTCACATTGCCTCTGAAATCACCTACTAAATCTTCCCTTCTTCTTCAGCATTCCGAGGTGGAGGAGGAGGAAGGAGAAGAAGAAGAAGAAGAAGAAGAGGAAGAGGAAGAAACAGGCAAACATTTAATTAGACCACAACTGACACCACCAGTATGGATACTCTTGACTGGCTGCTGAGAAAGTGGACGCAGCATATATGGGAATGTCCCAAGTGGGGTGATTTCAGTTCTTTATTCATTTAGTCCCTCACTGCCAGTCTTATAAACATAAACTCACCTGAGTCTTGTATGTGTGTGACACTGTCTTCATCTAGGTCATCGTGACACAGAAATCGACCAATCCTACGTGTAGATATGAATGCCTGTACACATAAACATGACATCATCAACAAAGCGACAATAAATTAGGACCTTCATTGCACCATTAACATAGTGGGCATGTATGTCAGGCCCACACTGTATATAACCTAAACTGTATATAACCTAACAGCTGGTACATCAGTGGTCATAAATAAGGTCAGTATACTTTACTCACCAAACAGGCATTGAAATGGGGACAAAAATAGATTAGGATAAAAAATGAAGACATCCAAGAGAGACAAACTGTTAATAGAGGCTAAAGGTATTTGACTTGATTCCATCAATGATACTGAGAGGACTACACCGGACAGAATCGAAATGCAGGACTAGATTAGAAGCTTTAAGTGACACATAACGGCACAAAATGATGATGATGATGAAACTTCAATTAGTAGTTATCAGCCTCCTAGACTAGTTCTTTCCACAGTGGGTGCTACTCCACGCTCCCACCCCCTACCCTTGGGGGTGCAGGGGTACTTGAGTGGCAGTGGGGTAGATTCATCCATCAGATCTGAAGGGTAGGAAGTGGAACAGTCCAGGGGGCGGTAAAAACCTCAGGTGCAGATAGGGGTAATGACTGAACACACGGCAGCAGTGGAGAAAAAGATGAATTCGAGAACTGGAGAATACTGCAACAATACCGGGTGAAGCTGGGCCATTAAATCTAGTCCTTATATATTTCAGACAAAAGTTTTAACAAGATTAAATATATTTATATACATTTTTTTTCTCTTTAAATTACTAATAACCTATGTGATTTGTTTTTTTGAGGATTTTTTCTGAGAACTGCCACAAATTTATGAATCAAGTTCTTTAAGCATTTACGGAGTGAAAGCGTTAATTTCACATGAACCTCACTATGAACCAGTCTAAATGAGACTTGGGATGAGCTGACTGAGGATCTTTACTTTACTTACGATAAAGGCCAGATGAGGCATAAACATAAAAACATAAGACATTTGTTCCCACAGTTCATAATAATGTTTGAGCTGTCTACCATGGAAGCTGTCTTCCATTAGAGTCATCCATCAAGAAAGGTTTCCTCCACAAAAGTTGTCCTCCATGAGAGTTGTCTGCCATGAAAATTGTCCTCAGTAAAAGTTGTCCTGCATAAAAGTTTACCTCCATAAAAGGTGATCTTCATTTGTCCTTCACAAAAGTTGACCTCCATAAAAGCTGCCCTTCTCAAAAGTTGTCCTGCACAAACTTCTCCATGAGAGTAGTCTTCCAAATATTTACACATTTACGAGAATTGTCCAAACAACATATCGCAAGACCACACAGAAAATACCTATATATGAAAGCATTATACTTATGAAATTTCATTATGGTGCAGGCATCTGAGAAGACTACAACTTTTCCATTCAACATGCCTCGGGATTCTCAAAAATGATTTTTTTTTAAATGTCATTAGCAACACTAGGCACATCCGCTCCCCCCCCCCCCCCCCCCCCCCCCCCCCCCCACCCCCCCCCCCCCCCCCCCCCCCCCCCCCCCCCCCCCCAGCGTATCATAAAAGGTTCCTAATTAGGGGCATTTCCTTCAAAGTCAGAGTGTTTCTGCCTGCTAAATGAGGAACCAACAGTCAGCACACAAATAGACTAGATCTGTAAAACAGATATGCACACAAAACTCAAGTTCTTGAACAAGTCTAAAGTTTAGAAGTGGACAAAAAAGAACTTTCTGCCAGAGTTTCCAGCCAGTAAAGGCTAAGAAGAAGAAGAAGAAAAAGAAAAAAGACGAAGAAGAAGAAGAAGAAGAGGAAGAAGAAGAAGAAGAAGAAGAAGAAGAAGAAGAAGAAGAAGAAGAAGAAGAAGAAGAAGAAGAAGAAGAAGAAGAAGAAGAAGAAGAAGAAGAAGATATACCACAAGCAAACAGTGCCGGCCTTACCTTGAGTAGGTCTGTGACAATCATTGGTGCAAAGTTGATGGCGTACCTGAGAATGTCAAACAAGGAGATGGCCACAAAAGCAGTCTTTGGGTCCAGGTAGTGACTGTCTGTGATGTAGACATAGCACAGGAAAGACATCAGTGACACCTGATGATGCAACACACACCTGGATAACTAACTATACTCAGTTTATACAGGTATAAAATATAGATTACATCACAAAACACTAAATAAAATATACTATGCCTTACATCATCTATTCAAATCATATGCTCTGTCTTGTAATACCTGCTATCTACATTTAAACACAATATGTCTCCATTACCATACAATCTTTATCAATATGCCTAGTATCTCTAAAAACCAACAACAACAACAAACATACCACAAAAGGTGCAGCCGTCCAAGAGAAAGTCAAGAGTGAAGTGAGAATTGCTCCCCAACGTAACATTTGTAATTCTTTGTCTCTGATTCCAAGAATTCTTTTCTCAAATCTTCTCTCCCAGGCAAACAGTTTGATGATCTGAAGTAAACATAATCAAATATTAAACAACTTAGTGATCTGAAGCACATACAGACACTGTAGCATACAGTCTGATGATCTGAAGCACATACAGACACTGTAGCATACAGTCTGATGATCTGAAGCACATACAGACACTGTAGCATACAGTCTGATGATCTGAAGCACATACAGACACTGTAGCATACAGCCTGATGATCTGAAGCACATACAGACACTGTAGCATACAGTCTGATGATCTGAAGCACATACAGACACTGTAGCATACAGTCTGATGATCTGAAGCACATACAGACACTGTAGCAAACAGTCTGATGATCTGAAGCACATACAGACACTGTAGCATACAGTCTGATGATCTGAAGCACATACAGACACTGTAGCATACAGTCTGATGATCTGAAGCACATACAGACACTGTAGCATACAGTCTGATGATCTGAAGCACATACAGACACTGTAGCATACAGTCTGATGATCTGAAGAACATACAGACACTGTAGCATACAGTCTGATGATCTGAAGCACATACAGACACTGTAGCATACAGTCTGATGATCTGAAGCACATACAGACACTGTAGCAAACAGTCTGATGATCTGAAGCACATACAGACACTGTAGCATACAGTCTGATGATCTGAAGCACATACAGACACTGTAGCAAACAGTCTGATGATCTGAAGCACATACAGACACTGTAGCATACAATCTGATGATCTGAAGCACATACAAACACTGTAGCATACAGTCTGATGATCTGAAGCACATACAAACATTGAAGCATACAGTCTGATGATCTGAAGCACATACAGACACTGTAGCATACAGTCTGATGATCTGAAGCACATACAGACACTGTAGCATACAGTCTGATGATCTGAAGCACATACAGACACTGTAGCATACAGTCTGATGATCTGAAGCACATACAGACACAGTAACATACAGTCTGATGATCTGAAGCACATACAGACACAGTAACATACAGTCTGATGATCTGAAGCACATATAGACACAGTTACACAGAACTTGATGATCTGAAGCACACACAGACACAGTAACAAACAACCTGATGATCTAAGCCCATACAGACACAGTAACAACTTGATGATCTGAAGCCCATACAGACACAGTAACAACCTGATGATCTAAGCCCATATAGACACAGTAACAACTTGATGATCTGAAGCCCATACAGACACAGTAACAACCTGATGATCTAAGCCCATACAGACACAGTAACAACTTGATGATCTGAAGCCCATACAGACACAGTAACAACCTGATGATCTAAGCCCATACAGACACAGTAACAACTTGATGATCTGAAGCCCATTCAGACACAGTAACAACTTGATGATCTGAAGCCCATACAGACACAGTAACAACTTGATGATCTAAAGCCCATACAGACACAGTAACAAAGAATTTGATCTGAAGCCCATACAGACACAGTAACAACTTGATGATCTGAAGCCCATACAGACACAGTAACAACTTGATGATCTGAAGCCCATACAGACACAGCAACAACTTGATGATCTGAAGCCCACATAGACACCAGGTGCTCAGTTAGGCAGTAATGTGTTGCAAACAGGGCTGACTGCAGTTAAGCTCCCTCACACAGAAAATCACACAGTAACAAACAACACAATGATCCATACAAAAGCAAACATGAACACAAGTATTCCTCAGTTGGTATCAGGGTCCTATCATGGAGGAAAACAAGAACAGACCCACTTCTCGCCTCACAAGCATTTCATAAAAGCTGACTTATTATGAGTGTTTTCTTCAAAGTCGGAGTGTATCTACCTGAGAGGTGAGGAACCAACAGTCTGCATACAAATTAGCGATAGCTGTAATATGGATTTGCACGCAAAACTCAAGCTCTGCAGCAAAACTGAAGTCCATAAGTGAACAAACAACCACAGCTTTCCATCGGACTTTACACTTGGTGAATGTGAAGGAGAAGAAAAGTATGAAAACATAATATAAAAGAAGCAAGACCACCAGTCTGACCTTGATCCCACTCAGCAACTCGTTCATGACCTTCATGCGCTGGTCCTTGTGCTCCATGAGCTTGGTCTGCAGGTTGCCCAGCTTGACTGTGATGTAGCCATTGGCTGGAATCAGCAGGATCAGGAAGGCCGCACCAGCAAACATGGACACCCCTGCAACAGCAGCACAACCAGGTGGTCAGCTATGGAATAATATGTCGAAAACAGGGCTAGCCGCAGTTGAGCTAGCAACAACAACAATATGTACTCAACTAAGGCTTCCCCATGTGGGTTTGGGGGTCCCCATTGTGGGGGAAAAAAAAAGAAAAGACCCACTATCCACTAGCATGCCTGTTGTAAAAGTTGACTTTCCTTATTGTTCACTCGCTGTAAATTCCGGCAGAAAGTTCAGGCTGTTGTCCACTTCTGAACTTTGGTCTTCTTCTAGGATCTGAGTTTTGCATGCACATTCACTACACAGATCTTACTTATTTGTTAGCAGACTACTGGTTGCTCACCTCTCAGGAAGATGTGCTCAGACTTCAGAGAAAACTCCCTTAATTAGCCATCTTGTATGACATGCTTGTTAGGGAGGCAGTAGATCTATCCCCCAAATCCCCTTAGCCTAAAAAGAGGCCCTGGAACACACAGAGGGAGGTAAAAATGGACTAATTAGGGGTATTTGCTTCAAAGTCGGAGTGTATCTGCCTGAGAAGAATGGAACCAACAATATGAAAACAAATAAGTCAAATTTGTAAAATGGATATGCAAGCAAGATTCAGGTTCTGGAACAAGACTTAAGTCCAGAAGTGGACGAACAACCAGAACGTTCTGCTGGAGTTTACAACCAGTGAACATGGAGGAGGAGGAGGTGGGGGAGGAGGAGAAGGAGGAGGAGTAGAAGAAAAAGAAAAATTATTAGAAGAAGAAGGAGGAGAAAAAGAAGAAGAAGAAGAAGGAGGAGGAGTTGGAAGAGGAGAAGTTGAAGAAGTATAAGACAAAGGAGGAGAAGAAGAAGGAGGAGGGGGAGGAAGGGGCGGGAGGAGGGGGTGAAGAGGAGGAGAAGAAGAAGAACTATGATGAGGAATAAACGAACAGAGAAACTTTATTTTTAAAAGGTCACAAATATGGCATGCATGCCTGTCTTATATGCAGCCCTTTCAAAGACTCTTCACATTCCTAGTGTATTTTAAATCAACAAAGCATCTTATATTCGTATAATAGGTAATAATAGGTAACTGGTCGTTAACTTCTCTTTCTTCTTCGCATTCACCGGCTTTAAACTGCAGTGGAAAGCTCTGTTTGTTTGTCCACTTCTGGACTGCTGGTTCCATGCCCCTTAAGCGACTCTGAAGGATGCTCCAATTTAGTCGACTCTTATGACATGCTTTTGGGCAGGCAGTGGGTCTATTCTTGTTTTCCCCACAATGGGGTCCCGGAACCCACACGGGGAGGTATCTAACTAACTGTCGAGACACCGATCACCCGTCAACAAGAACAGACTGACCTATATAACTGTGCAGCAAGTACAAAGACAGGATGATCTGTAAAGGGCTTGACCAAACTGCCCACAAATAACTCATAACATTCTCCACTCTCTCAGCGTCCACAGACATCAAGTTGACCACTTCTCCAATTGTTGATTCTTTCCGGGCCAAATTGTTCATGGTCAGCGACTGTGGAATCAACAAGAAGAACAATGTTAGCCTTCTCGAACAGAGGTGCCTGCCTGGGCCATAAGACATGATTATACATGTGCTGTCTGTATAGGAAATCATGAACTGTACGTTACTGTTTTTCTTAGTCATAATTTTAAGAGGAGAATGTCTTTTCAATACATTATAGTGATATGGTCACATAAAGTCAAATGTAGTCATATTATCATATAGCTTAGTAACAAATAGTTACACAGTCATATAGTTGTGTCACATCCTCACATTGTGGGGAGCAGCCATGTTGTAGTGGCTAGTCGATAGCCTGCAAATCTAAAGGTTGTGGGTTCAGGTCCTAAAGGAGCCAAACCTTTTTTTTTAATGAACTTGGTTCCCAGGTCAACCAAGCCTTAAATAGGTATAGGTAAACCACTGTGAAGTAAAAGCGTCATGGTGTTGACCACATCCCCCACAGAGTACCAATTGGTGCATAGAATATAGGTCTAGCCCTATATGCCCAATAGGCCTGAAGTTGGGGAAAAGGGTTCTTTACTTTTTGCTTTACTTCGCTTCTTCCTGTCAGTTCCAGAGTTGCCAGTTTGGAGAGAAAAAATGGAACAGAGTGGCTGCTCTTTAACAAGCATGTTGTAAAAGGCGACTAACTTATATTTTGCTGAAATCTGATTTGTTGGGCTGGAAGGTGCAGATGTCGACACTTAGCTGTAAACCCCAAAACAACATACCAACTGCATTTTCAAGGATGATCGCAGAAGAAGAGGAGATGGAGGAAGAAAAGGAGGAGTGCATCATGCCTAGTTATGCATCTCTTTAACTCAGTGACAAGTGTGTCAGACTTGAGTATGTACTTGTGTCAGCTTTCCCTCTTCTGACAGTTTCATAAGAGAAATACTGAATACATAGAGGACTTTTGCGAACATTGGATCAGCAACATAAAAAGGACAACGATGTAAAACAATGTTTAGCATGGCTACTTGGAACAGCAGTGGAATGGGAGACTAAGAGACGAACTAGTAGAATTCATAATTAAAAATTAAATTAAAATCATGAGGATATTAGATATGAGAAAAAGAGGACAAGGTTTGAATAAAATACATAAACATTATAACAAGTGTATATGATATTTTTTACAGCAGAACATCTGCGAGGAAGGCAAGAGGAAGACCAAGAAAGATAAGGATAAATGGTGTTGCAGAAACCTGCAAAAAAGATTAACAAATCCATCACCCAAGCCACCCGAGAAGCGCAGAAGAAATCAGAAAACCAGGACACTGGGCTACAACCTGGTACCAGTGAGACGACAAAAGAAGATGAAGAAGGCAACTTTCTGTCTTTCCAGACGATAGTATTATACTGTTCTTTGGGGAGGCATAGGAATTATAAGGAAAAAAATGGAACGCTTTTTTTTGTTGGCAGGGGTAATGCTAATCTCTCTACCTTTCTAACTGTGGTAAATGTACTCTATAAGATATGTCTCTTTATATACACATGGGTTTATGATTTACTTCCTGCAATTCTTCCAGGGCAGTTACCTTATAGTCTACTGACTGCAACTGTCCAACCCTCATTAGATTTTAATTGTGTGTAACTTGCACAAGGGACCCTCTGCTGCCCATCCCTGGTGGATAGGAGGGGGGAAGGAAGAATGGGTGGAATGCAAGAAAGAAGGGTAGACCATGGAACAGCAGGGAAGCTGAATGGAAGAAGGGAAAGAAGAATAGACAAAAAGAAGGTTGGACAGAAGCAAGCAAATACTGGAAGGCCAAACATTAATTTCTTCTTCTTCTTAGCATTTACCGACTGCAAAATATGTAAAGTTCTATTCGTTCACCCACTTCTGGACTTTAGTCTTGTTCCAGGAATTTTGCTTGCACATCTGTTTTAAAGGTCTGGCTGAACTGTATGCAGTCTGTTGGTTCCTTGCCTCTCAGGCAGATGCAATCTTGACTTCAAAGGAAATACCCTGATTAGTTTTGTGACATGCTTATTAGAGTAGCACTGGGTATACTCATTTTCCCCTCATAATGGGCTCCTACAGCAAGGGGAGATGATACCTAGTTTGATACTGGACATCAGGACATCTGCCTGGAGAGACTAAAACCCAGCTTTTGATGTTCAGGAGGAGGATGGAACTTTGCACTTATCCTGTAACATACAGATACAGAAATGGAGCCACATCTTTTCGACACATTTAAATCCAGCAATGTCAATACAACCAAAAAGATAAATGCAAGACATCTGGCAATAAATCACCGAAGACAAGTAACATAATGACAAACAAAAACATAAAACACATGAAAATGAACTGCCAAACTAGGGTGACCATAATATTTTCAGCTGAAAACAGGACATCCCAAGCAAGTCAGTTGAAGTCCCTTACCTTTTTTTTTTTCTCTCCTAAGTTGCAGGGGTGAAAGGGTTAAATACTCTCTAGAGAATGGTATTAAAACCCAAACCACTGCCATCAAGAAATAAACAAACCGGTATGCTCTATTACTGCAATGAAGAACCATGCTACAGTGACAACTGTCACAACACATTTCAGGCATTAGAGTATCTAAACAATAAAATTAAAAAAATGACTACAGATGTAACTATCAGTGTATGTTCTATTCTTAAGCAAGTTCCTACATTTAAAAAAAAAAATGGGACAATTTGTGCTTGTTTACAGTACTGACTGAACAGCTGGGACACAAGTTGAAAAACACTAGAATTTCTCGGTTAAAATGGGACGTATGGATGCTAAACCAAATGTCTAGCCATACAAATCAGAACTAATGTGATGTAGTGTGACTGACCCTAGAATCAAAGGGCAGCAGAAGGTCAAGATGTCAGCAAACAGTTTCCAGATCTGACTCAGCAGCAGCTCCTTCCAGAAAGTTCTCACAAGCACCCAGTTCAGAGATGGCCCCACTGGTTTCTTCTCTAGTGCTTGCTGCTCCTGATCTTGGGATTTCTGTCTGTGATTATGCAGCAAGGGAATTCGTTCATTATCTTCAGCTGGTGTGTCAGCTCTCCTTTGTGGCATGGGTCTATCAACAGCACTAGACCTGCAAACAGAAATGCTTTGTATACATCCATTCTTTCATTCACTGTCCTGCTGTGCTGTTATATGTCACATAGGGTTCGCAGTCTATTCATTAATTCCATTTTAACCTGTGCAATCAGTTCAATAACATGGATGAAATCCAATCCAGCAGCTTTGGCCTCTCTCATCAAGGTTCATATTAAGGTTTTTGGGCATCCTAACCTTCTCAATCCCTTTATTTCCTATTGTAATGACATTATAGTTGTGGAATAGAAATAGTAATAAATAATTATAATAATAATTATTATTATGTGCAAGGCTGCAAATAAATGAATGGTTGATTGAATCAAGAATTGACATCACTGTATTTGGGACAGTCCCATACTTTCTCCGTTCCCTTTTTCAGTAGCCAACGAAGAGTTGACATGCTAATGGTACCAGTTGCAACCTGATTAAAAGTCTGTTACCCCTTCAGCATTGAAAATCTCTCAGAACCTCTACTCACACCACACTGAATTAGTCTTTCAGTGTATGCATTCCCTATCTTTTGCACAGTCCATTTGATCCCACAGAGCTTTCACCACGTCTGCTTTATCATATTGCAGCTCACCCCCCAGAGGAGCAGCAGCAGCTAATCTACATAGATAATATATCTGAAACAACACCTTAATCTTCTTAGCGTTCATTGCTGCAAACTTCAGCAGAAAGTTCTGTTTCTTTGTCCACTACTGGACCTTACATCCTCTCCCAACACCTCGCTGAGGTAAATGGTGGAAGACAAGAAGAAGAAGAAGACTGGACTATAGTCTTGTTCCAGAACTTGAATTTTGCATGTACATTCATTTTACAAATCTGACTTATTTATATGGAGACTACTGGTTCCCCACCTTTAGAGAACAAAGAAAACACCCCTAATTAACTGACTTTTATGACATGCTTGTTTCAGAGGGGGTGGGGAGGGCAGTGGATATATACTTTTTCCTGCAATGGGAATGGAGGAACTCAAACAAATATAAACAGATATTTAAAATGTGAATGTCTATACATGGACAGGGGACCACTTTACCTCCTGGTAAATTTTCTAATGATTGGAAACACAAGGGGGAAGTGGGCCGGGAAGCCTAAGTCTGCTGTAAAATATTGAACTCAAGGTGCCTAACCTCTAAGTTCCTGTGCCCTTCCATGAAGCTGAGACAATCAATGAGAAAGCATTAAAGTAAATAACTACACAACTGTGTGTGTGTGTTTGTTGTTGTTGTTGTTTAAGTTAGTAGTTACAAATCGTCCGCAGCTAGGGTCGAACCCGCATTACATAGCTCATTTGCAACGCCCAAGCCATAGACGCCTACTTAAAAAAAAATATCTTTTGAAATGATCTGTGCGATTTTCAGGTACAGAATGATCGCCTTACTTTCTCTTCCACGAGGAGACGGCGGCAGTCCATCTGTGCAGGAACCGAGGGACCACTGTTTCAGACTTGTCTCTGGGATGAAGATCTGGCATATTCTCCTCCGTCAGTGGCTGTTTGTAACCCTGAGACATCAGGCTGCAATAATACATGGACAGTTGGGATTAACTGCAGCTAAGATTATGTGGAAAACTGATCTGGAAGCTGCAGAGATGTGGTTTTATAGACGAATGATGAGAATACCCTGGACAGATAAAAAGAGAAATGGAAACGTCTTGAAAGAAACTAACTCACGCAGATAACTGACCCCACATCAGAAAGAGACAATCTACGTTCTTTTGTCATGTAATGAGAAGAAAACTGGAGTTCATCAAGACAGTAGGAATGTTGTAGGGGAGGAGAGGCAGAGGCAGACGAGAAAACAGATGCTGGACTGTTTGACCTCATAGCATGGAGGATCATCTGTGTTAGAGTTGACTGAAAGTACAAAAGACAGAAGGCTGTTGATAGACATGACTTCCAATGCCACACAGCATTGACTTTATATAAAAAAAAGAAGAATATGTGTCCACATTTACCTCCACATAATTGCTCCTCTTCCTGCTTCCCCTCTTGCAGTGAAGCACAGAATTAGAAAAGACATGATCAGAAATTGACAATATCAGGAAAGAAGTTGGGACGAAACCAGTACTAAAGGATATCAAGAGACAACAGATCAAATGGTTTTGATAATGTCTCAAGACTTTCACTAGACAGTGCACCACAGAGAGTCCTGTCACTTACATATAATGGAAGCAGAGCCAGAGTTCAACAATGCAAGCGATGGATAGATGGGACATCCAAGGCAGTAAATACCAGCATGTACATAGAATGTACCAAAACTCGCACCTGATGCCTCTTTGAAATCTGATTCTTAAAGGCAAAACAGGACTACAGGAGGAGGAGGAGGAGGAGAAGAAGAAGGAGAAGAAGGAGGAGGAGGAGTGAAGCAAAGGTCCTCAACCAACTTCTTCTGTGTTTGCCATTAAAAGGATGACTGGAACATTGTTCCATGCTTACAGCTAGATTGCAATATCTACACCTTTAGGCATAACACATCTGATTTCAGCAAACCCCATATCAGTGGCCATTTGAGAGGCCGAAAGGCACACACATCGCAGCCCAGCTGTAAACCATAAAACAATGTGCTAACTGCCCTTTTAAGGGCAAATGCAGGAGAAGAGGTTATCCCGGTATCACCAAGCCAGGGACAAATTTAAGGCAACAAGCGAGCTAATCTTGGCTTCAAAAGCAAAGCAGCACCAGTAGTCACAACACTCTTGACGGTCAAGGCAGTGATTTTGGAGACCTTTCCACCCCAGCAACAGATGAAACAACATATTTAACTCTTAACAATGCATGATGTGTTACTGACTATTCCCCACATGTCTCAAACATTACATCAAGTGTCTTCTTATGTTTAAGTTTTGGTCAGTGTTTACTAAATAAATCTAGCAACTACAGGGGTATCTTTTAATTATTTTTCATTGCTACAGCAGGTGGCTACAGCTTTTATGGCAATATACAATGAAGAAAAATAATTGTTTCTTCCAAAACCTTATGGGGCCGAAAAAGTTAAGGACACATAAGTTAGAATCGATCAGTATCTGCACCTTGAGAAGTCTGTGTGGAGCACAGGTGAGTTTGCTGGTGTTCAATAATGCTGATTACTATGACCAAGAAACCAAGCATGCTAATTCAGTAGCTGAGTTTTTAACTTCAGTGCAGACAGGTCATTCCATAAATGCTACATTTCTGAGTCACTGGAAATCACTCATTCACACACAAACACACACACCAACACATGTGGTGATTTCCTTTATAAACGATCAGTTGTCAACACACAAATTACAGTAAGTTATGAGCCAGTTGTTTAGAAAATATTCTCCACAAGGTTTAGCACATGATGAAGACAAGATGCTGAAAGGCAGAAGCATTAGAGAAAAGAAAGAAAGATAAAGATGAAATACTTCACTTAGTCATTCCTTTTCTACCTTATCGTGTAGAGGTTTGCCAGAAAAATTTCCAGATTTCTCTATCAGAAAGTTTTCTTTTTGGCTTTGTTCCATCCAATCTCTGTCAGTCAGGGACTGCCAGATGTTGTCTTCCCAGCGAACCCTGGGTCACCCTGATGTTCCCGTTTCCTGGCTCCTGGCCTTCCATGACTGCCTTGGCGGTCAATTATCTCCCATTCTGCCTACATGTCCGAACCATTGAAACTGTGACTGATCCACTCGAGTTTGTAAGGCCTGGGTTTATGGTTGCAAACTTTGTCACCTGGACCATCTTACTCAGATCTCCCTTCTGAGGCCTGAAGCTGACTTCTATGAGCAGCTGAAATAAAATACAACACCAACAAAATCCACATGGTAGACAGCTGTTGATTTCCAAACACACCAAGCTCATTTTCTGTGAACTTACTTGTTTAGCCACCAGAAGGTCAAACGAGATGGGAAAGAGGCCCCAATTTCTGGACTCGGTTTCTGAAATGTTTAAAATTAAAATTAAAAAAATATATGTATGTATGTATCTTTCAGCTACTTATATCCTGACAAAGGTTATAATACTATTGAATGTTGAATGCTGAATTAGGAATTGACATCACAGCACTTGGGACAAAGGTTATAATACTATTGAATGTTGAATGCTGAATTAGGAATTGACATCACAGCACTTGGGACACCCATAAAAGGGCTCTGTCCACATCTTCAGTAGCAAGGGAAGAGTTCAAATTACAGTGGCATCAGTAAGTGTCAGATTGTATATCCCTCTCACCTTTTCCCTGAGTATTGAGCCCCGACCAGATTCCCTGGTAACTCCTCGTAGCACCATTCTCCTCAGACCGTAATGGTCTGTCTGCGCCTTCGCACTGTTCACTCGCTCCCAAAGGGCCCTCACAGCATCTTGCTTGTCATATATTAGTTCACCACAAAGCGGTACAGAACCAGCCATTTGATCTACCTGTTCATTTCCCAACACACTGGTATCAACTGGAGAAATTATCCCAAGGATGCTAACTACCTGGGACCTCTGAAGTGATGCTTGCCACTCTGCACAGAGCATGCCTGGCTCCACCTTTCTCAACACGCTCTGCAAGTCAGTTACAATCACAGCATGTGTGTACAGCTGAATCTCAAGCCAGCGGAAGGCAGCAGAGACTGCCTCCACATCCATTCTCAAACTAGACGCTGTGATATCATATGCCAGGCTTTGCTACACCACTCGACGTTCATTCAATTCTGCTATGAACCCCCATGCACTGGGTCTGCCCCTCAACACAGAGCCATCTATATAGATAATCAAATCACCTAGGCGGGAATTGTCATGAATTATTTGTTGAACTTTTGATTCCGCAGCACCAGCTGGCCAGTCCCAGGATTCAAAGTGATAAGAACCCTACACAAGTCTGAACGTCTAAGGTTATAACGCTTACAAATGTTACACACTCACTCATACATATTATTCATTGGCTGTAAACTCCGGCAAAAAGTTCTCGTTATTCATCCACTGCTGGACTTTAGTCTTGTTCCAGAACTTGAGTTTTGTGTGCACATTCGTTGTACAGACCTAACTTATATGTATGCAGACTGTTGGTTCCCTGCCTCTCAGGCAGCTGTGCTCTGACTTGGAAGGAAACCTCTAATTAATCGACTCTTACAACATCCTTGTTTGGGAGGCAGTGGGTCTACTCCTTCCCCCACAATGGGACCTGAGCCTAACACTGTTAGTTTGTTGTTCCATTAACAATAGCAAACTCCAAACTTCCATAGTTAGTTGTGAATCCTTTACTGGACGTTGCAGAATTAACTCCAGCATTTTTTTTTGGCTGTTGTGGTTTTTCTAGATAAATTTACATCCAGTAGTTTGCCACTGCTTTCTGGTAGGTCGGTTTCTCAATACACTGTCAAAACTAATGCAAGGCTCAAGGTCCCCAGCTGGGATCGAACCCAGCATCCCAGCATTACAAAGTGCATTCGCAACGCTTAAGCCACAGACGCTGACTCCATGGTATAACACACTTAATTATGTGGGGAAAAAAAAAATATACAATAACATACAGTACTTTTACAATAAACAAACAGACAATGTATTGATTAGCACTCATAGAAAGAAGTTTTTAAAAATTATATATATAATATTTCTACGCAAGGATTTCCCCTGTTTATTTATGTGAATGATGGGTAACACAATTAAACCTACCAATCAAACCTCTTTCTTAAATGTTTGTTCTGTTCTAGTCAAAGAATTATGGTCTGCTGTGTTTGTTAATTGCTGCTGTGTTTGTTATTTGACTTATGCTTGATTATTACAAATCTACAACCCATGGTGCCATTGCAATGATTTGAGATTATTTCTGTCTGTATTCCACAGCTGTGGATTTCAAGCTGTATGATAGACATGACCAATGAGGAAACTTTTTTTAGATGTGCCTGCTGGTCATGTTCTTAGTACACTTGTTTCAACAGTGAGGCTCACACGCCATTTGAAGGTGACAGCCTTGATTCCCAGCATGGTAATTACAGCTTTTGATTTTTATGTTGTCTAGTGTGTCCTTTTATCTTTCTACTTCTTTCTATGAGTGCTGATCATTACACTGTCTGTTTATTTTATATATATATATATAATAGTACTTTTACAACAATTTATAACAAATGATAGAAGAGGAAAATAAAAGAGACAAACACAATGACGTCATAATGACAGTTTAAAGATGTTCACCCCACTTATGACATGCACCAAAGAGGAACGACCCTTTGTTATCCTGGTTTTCTCTTTTTTAATCAGTGAAGGAGTGAAACCTATAGACATTCATAGACACACACAAAACCAAAACCATTTTAACTACACTAACCTTTGGTGTTGAATGTGACAGAATTGGTGTTTCAGCTTTAAACTGAAGAAGGAACTCCAGCAGACAGAACAAAAACTGAAAGCTGAATGTGGAAAATGTAAATACATCTGAGTGGTAAACCTGAAAATATAAAATAAAATATTCACTCAAGGGAAACGTAATGTTTAAACATGCAAAGATCTTTTTCCAACTATACAACCATGAGCCAGTTTGTTCAGTGAGTGTATAATCTTCAGTCAATCTGTTCTCCAATCATGCAATCATGATAAATTGGTTCTTTGACCATACAAGCATTCATCAATCTATTTTTGGAGCAAATAATTCTGATACAATCTGTTCTCCAAACATATAAATATTGATCAACATGTTCTTCAATAAAGTAAAGTCAAGGACCCTATTCTACTCCTTCAGGTGTATTGGGTGTATAGGGCTAGACCAATAATTTTACAGACCAATCAGCATTTAACAGATGATGTGGTCAACATCACACCAGCTGCCTTTACTTCCCAGGGCTTTATCTTTAACCCATTTAAGGCTGGGTCGACCTAGGAGCCAAGGTTATTTTTGACCCGAACCCAAGAAATCCTCAAATGCCTAGCCGCTACACCGCAGCGGCTCAGCTTCAAACAATCAGTCAAACTGGTTATCAATTATATGAGTTAAAAAAAAAAAAAGCAAAGATCCTTTTTATGTCAGAGGTCCATCAGGCTTTGATGCTTGACTCAAGAGGCAGTGGGAGAAAAGATGCTTGACTCAAGAGGCAGAGGGAGAGAAGATGCTTGACTCAAGAGGCAGAGGGAGACCAATAGAGAAGATGCTGGACGGTCTGACATCACTGCATAAAAGATCATATGTGTCCTAAGTGACTGAAAGTACATGAGACAGAAGGTTGTGGATAGACATGATTACCATGATTACCAATCCCACTATAAGAAGAAGACAGTTATTGAGCTATTTCTAGGTTTCAAAACTCGACTCATATGTCACAAATTATGGCAATCATGAGCAAATCTGTTCTCCAACAAAACAATCAAGGATCTACACGTTCAACTGTGTCTTCTTACTCAATCTTTGTTAGAGAAGTTGGCAGGTTCTGCAGGCTTTGGGTGCCACTTGAGACTCGTAAAAGGGGGGGGGGGGGTTTGGAGGGAGTCAAAACAAGTCGTTATCCAGATGATGATTACCATCAGTACGGAAGCTCTTCGCTAGCTGTTGAAGAGGGAGGCGGAGCTAATATAGGCTTTTCCTGAATGTTGTAATGTCAGATCTTTACCCAAATGAACTCTTGAGTAATCACCTACAGTTTAGTTGCTACTACATCAAGAACTTATTTCCCTCCACACCCAGGCACCAGACGCCTCACCTCCAGTTCCAGGTATGTATAAAAAGTGATCACACAGCTGATGGTGATGAGCAGCCAGAAGATAAAGAGCACCCCAGACGTGACAAATCTCTTCCGTCTTTCTGCAACCGTGAATGCTATGGCCAACAACTAAAAACATAAATATTTATAATTAGATGAATATAGTAGGACCTACAAGTATCATCATTATAAATACAATCACAATATTGTAACTTACAAGTACCATCAATAAAAATACAATCACAATGTTGAGATCAGTAAATATTGTTAGACAAGTATAACAACAATGGACTTTCAAGTACCATCAATATAAATACAATCACAACGTTGGTATCAGTAAATATTGTTAGACAGGTACAAAAGGTAGAAACAGTTTATGGAATGCTATGAAGGACTTTGGAATACCAAAGAAGTTGATTACCATGACCAAACTATGTATGGAAGACACTTTTAATATTGTAATATATAAAGGCAGAAAGTCAGACCCTTTTCGAATAACATCTTGTTTAAATCAAAGTGATGCTCTGTCCCCACTTCTTTTCAACTTGGCCCTGGAGAAAATTATAAGGAAATTGAAACACGAGTGTACTATAGGAGAAACTACAAGAATACTTGGATATGCAGATGACATTGATATTGTTGGAGAAAATAAACTAGAGACTGTTAAAACACTGGCTGTCTTAAAAGAATCAGCTCAGAAAATAGGACTAGTTTTCAATCAAGATAAGATAGAATACATAATAATAACTAGACAGGGAAAGGATACAAACTCTGGCCACATACAAGTCGCTATTATGAAAATCAAACGAACAGAAACATATAAGTACTTGGGTGCAAACTTCAACTGCTCCAACATGCTTAAAGAAGAAGTACAATCTAGAATACAATCTGGAAATAAAGTATATTATGCCCTTCAATGTCTGCTAAATCAGAGTGTCTGTCTCGCAACACCAAGATCAAAATATATAAAACGTTGATAAGACCCGTCATTTTATATGGCTCTGAAATTTGAAGCACAACTAAAAGAGATAAAGCCTTATTACAGGTTTTTGAAAACAGAGTCTTACGACGAATCTTTGGACCCATTAAAGATGCAAACAGCGGTGATAGGAGAGTGAGAAGCAACAACGAAATTCATAATCTGTTTAAATCACCACTGATCACTGGCATCATGAGAGCTAATAGACTGAAACGATTGGGGCATAATTAAAAAAATTTCAGATGACAGAGAAGTAAAAACTGTATACACAAGGGATATGAATGGTCATAGACCACGAGGCAGACCAAGAAGACGATGGAGAGATAATATCCACACAGACCTGCAAACACTTGCTGTCACCAGCTGGAAAGAGAAGGCCAACCAGAGAGATGAAATAAGGCAAGTGATATCTGCAGCAATGAACCCCAAGGATCAGGATACTGAAGAAGAAGAAGAAGAGATACAACGACAATGGTGGGACTTGCAAGTATTATCAATATAAGTACAATGGTGGGACACACAAGAACCATCAATATAAATACAATCACAATGGTGGGATCAGTAAATATTGTTAGACAGGTATAACGACAGGAGTGGAACTTACCAGCGTGAGTATCATGACCAGTGGAGCAAACACATCAGCCTTGAGTAGACTATGAACATCGTGATATGTGTGGCCCGCAACATTGATGAAATCCACCACTGACAGTACAACCAGAAGAAGGAGCAGAATCTGTCAGATGAAAAATATCTCTTTAGTTTCTTTCACTGCAGCATTATTTTTCTTTTTCTTCTTCTGCCCTCTATCCCCCAGTGGAGCATAGGCCCTCAACCAGCTCATGCCAAGTTGTTCTGTTCTTTTTGCTAATGCATGCAGCTCACCCTCTTCTTCCTGCTCATGGAATGGCTATCTCTCATCCACTTCATTCTTCTTTATCGTTTGCCCTTTGAAAAAAAAAAGTGGTTGGCACCCCATTACGGGGGGGGGAGCACTGCTGCCAATAAGCATGTCTAAAAGGTAACTAATTAGGAGTTTACTGACACTGGATGTGTTAGGCTGACAGGTGCAGATACTGCAGCTTAACTGTAAATCACAACATGAGAACTGCTTTTTCAAGGGTGAACGTAGATAAACAAAATATGGAAGTAGCAGAAAAAGAATAAGAATAAGGAGGAGGAGGAGGAGAACAAGAAGATGCAAACGATGACAATAATGAATTATTTAAAATGAGCAAGTAAATTACTGAGTCCCAGCCTTACCAGTCTTAGCAGAACAAGCCAACTGAATGTCCGCCCGGACACGGTGGTGGGCAAGCCAGTTATGTACCATGTGTAGAAGGGGGCACTCAACCATAGCCATCCACATGGCACCCACACCAAAACTGTCTTGCGGAAGCAGTCAGTAAACTGTGGCCAGCTTCCATACCAAGTGAGGTTTAGGTCCTTTAAATAAAGAGAACAGAAACAACTATCATATATGCCAGCACAGCTTCTGCAAGCACAGTGATGACTTGACTATATTTCTCCCCGCTTTCTTCCGAATGATTTCTTACTTGTTTTGTTTAGTAATACAGCTCTTCAAACTCATATTTTTTTCTGTTACATATTTTTTTTGGTTTGATATTGACCTTGGTTGATTACAAGCTCTGCTATCTTGTCCTTGAGTGTCCAGTCACAGTCAGTGTTGTATTTATTACTCTGTTGATAAAGACTGGTTGAAACATTCGGCTGTATTTTTCCATTCCCTCCATTGAGCTTTCTAGTCACATTTCATGGTACATCTAGCACTCTGTGCATATAACAGTAATACAAAGACAAGGAACTTTTAGTTACAGAGCCAGTTAAGCTTTGCATACCAGTTCAACTACATACACCAGTTTGGTTACACATACCAGTTCAACTACCTACACCAGTTTGGTTACACATACCAGTTCAACTACATACACAAGTTCAGTTACACATACCAGTTCAACTACATACACCAGTTTGGTTGCACATACCAGTTCAACTACATACACCAGTTTGGTTACACAAACCAGTTCAACTACATACACCAGTTTGGTTACACATACCAGTTCAACTACATACACCAGTTTGGTTACACATACCAGTTCAACTACACACTCCAGTTCAGTTATACATACCACTTCAACTACATACACAAGATCAGTTACACATACCAGTTCAACTATACACACCAATTTGGTTACACACACCAAGTCAGTTACACATACCAGTTCAACTACATACACCAGTTTGGTTACACATACCAGTTCAACTACACACACTGGGTCGGTTACACATACAAGTCCAACTACATACACTAGTTCGGTTACACATACCAGTTCAACCACACACATTTTTTTAAAATAACTGACCAGGGATCCCAGGCTGACCTAACCTAAAATTAGTACAAGAAATTGTCCTGGGAAGTAAATGCAGCTGGCTTGATGTTGATATGTTGACTGGTCTATAAAATACAGGCCTAACGCCATATTCCTGATGTTTTAATGGCATGAGCTGGATCCTATATATTTTTTTTTATTTGCCAGGTGAGTTTGAGGTTATAGGGAATACACACTTCTTCTTCTTCTGCCTTCTATCCTCCACTGGAGTATAGTCTCAAACAACTCACATTCTGTCTATCACTGTTGCATGCAGCTCACCCTATGTCCTCCCTATCATTCTAACTTCACTATCTAGCTCCCTTCTCCACTTGTTGTTTGGTTTGCCTTTATTTCCAAACCCCTGTGGTCTCCAGTGCAAAGACTTTCTAGTTATATTGTTCTCAGGTTTTCTCAATGTGTGTCCTATCCAACATCAGCAATTTTTTGTTTTCACCTCTTGATCCACTGGACCTTGTTTAGCTCTCTCCAATAGCTCAACATCAGTGATTTTATTGATACTAACTAATTCCTTCTATTCTGCCCAAGCATCAGTTAATGAATGTTTGCAGTTTATTAGTAATAGCTTTAGTTGTTCTCCTTGTTTCCGCCACATACAGAAGAAATGATTTGAAATAAGAATTACAAATCTTTAGTTTAGTGTTAGTTTTAATTTATTTTGACCTCCACAAATTTCCTAGTGCTATGAAAGCTTCTCTTGCCTTTTAGGTACGTAGGTAAGTTGTACCCCACCAGGACATCACACAAGCGATAAATGCCCAGTGACACAAAATGCCACCATGCGGATGAGGATCACCCGTGGAGAGGTCTCGGAAACCCTGTTCAACCGTTAGGCCATATTTAAGGCCTGGCTATATTTAGGGCCCCTGGCAAAAACCAAGGTGGGGCTTCAAAACAACTAAAAATTCCCACAAGGGGATGATGATTCAACTTGCATTTTGTATTCGTATTTTAATTTACAGTTTGTAATGTGTATTCCTTCTGAATTCATGTTTAAAAAAACTATTGAACTGTTTGAAGAAAAAAAAAAAAGGTTATTTATAAACATTTTAAAATGTTTTCAATATAAATGAAATAAAGTAATCAATCAATACGATTGAAATGAACAATTAAATTGATTAACAAATAAATTAATTACATTCCCCTTGGCCTAAATAAATGTATCAATTGACCTCATACAATGACATGTGACCTCATAGGAAATTTAACATTCATTCTAAAGGTAAATTTTGATATCATTATGGTGTTAATAAAAACTTTTTTCACACAATAACTCCCACCCTGACATAAACACAACCAATATCATTAACTAGGCTTCTCGGGGACTGGCCACCGCAAAAATGCTGGGTAAGCAGCATTTACAGGATTGTGTAATGGACAGATGTGTTGAGTTGGTGGTTTTTTGGGCTGAAAGGGTTAATAAATATATATATATTTATATAAAACATTTTGTATAAAACATTACCCAGAAAGGAGTGTCACAAAAACCATCCAAGGATTCAGACACCTGGGATGTATCCTTCTCCATCCCTCTGGTCAATTTCTGCATGGCAAAATTAAACAATGAGTGGCAAATCAAACATTTACTAACTCAGCCATATACATACAGAGAATGGCTAAAATAAGCATGTCTGGACCCAAGTTCAACTCCTTGGCAAAGTTGGGGATTTTTTCTGTGGAATGCAAAAATAAAACCTTAACCTAGAGAGTATATGGCTGCAGCACTAGACATATGGCTCTAAATCCTTAAGCTCAAAGACAGCCTCTGCCTATACCACAAAAGTGGTAACTATAGGCAGTAATGGCAGTTTGGCAGATATATTAAGGGTGAGGTTTGCAGACCCTGACAAATGGCTTGGATCTGTTGCTATGAGATTAGTGCAGACACTGTCCTTCTGACTCAGTACTGGAATATTCTCTTTAAATAGATTAGGTTGCAGAGTTCTTCTTCCCCTCTCCAAGTTCAGAATCCTAAGAGGTGTGCAAAATCAGCATAAGAATGTCTCATGGCATGATGATCTTTGCAGTGTTTGCCAGACTGGGGCCTCTGTCTGTGGAAGGCTGCACCCCCAAGGAATGTTCCAGTGTTTTGACGTGTCAGACCAGATCAAGGTCTTGTGGACTCTGCAATTATTATCAATTTTCACTTCTGATGTTAAGCGTCATGGTCATGGGGAAGAACATTTCGCGATCCACTGCTCAGTGGCTCACTGATTAGCAGTTTTTAATTTTTAACTGTCAATGAAGAATGTATTTAATGCCATGAATCCATTTCTCTCTGGTCTCCTCTTGCTTTCACATCATATAAATTTTCAGTGTAGCACCTGTGTTGGTAGCAGCTGTGACTCCAGGACTTTGCGATGAGAACGATTCTGCTACCCAGCTACCGGTACGTCGGTTTACACAATTTCAAAACTACTCACCGTCGTTGTGCTAAGTCCCAATATGCATGTTACAAAATTATTCACTTGCTAAGCTAAGCAGCCAGTAAAGATTCTCAACGAACAGTACTGATTGTGAAAATCTTAAGAATTTGTGAAATAATTACCTCAAACCAGAGAAAGATACAACAGTCGTTCGTCGTGCTAACCTCTCGTCTGCTACTGACAGTCTGACTAGTGACTGGAGGATGGGGGAGGGCGGGACATGGTGGCCTTATCATTCTCCTAGCAACAAGAGCTCGCTCATACTTTCTTCTTCTTCTACTTCTTCTTCGTTTTCTTCTTCTTCTTCTTCTTCTTCTTCTTCTTCTTCTTCTTCTTCTGTTCCAAGATAAGTTTAAATGTCTGAAATAAGCTCTTAATATATTTTTACATCATCATATAGGAGGTCCTTTACAGAACGTCACTCTCATCACGGTTTCTATGAAAAAAGGCAATTATTTGTCTTCTCCCTCCTCTTCTTTATCTTGATTCATTATCGTCTTCTTCTTCCTCTTCTTCTTCTTCTTCTTCTTCTTCTTCTTCTTCTTCTTCTTCTTCTTCTTCTTCTTCTTCTTTTTCTTCTTCTTGATTTGTATTAGGATTTAAGAGAGGCTCTGGTACAATCTCTAATTTTATTTTTCATAATGTAATGTTTATATCTACGAACAACAATGCATATTTGCAAGGGTAACTTCGTCATCATTATGTAGCAGGTCAACCGTCTCTAGGTAACTCTCCCGTCTCACTCAGTTTCAAACCAAAGGTCGGCCCCTGCCCCTCCTTTCTTCCTGCATTCCCTGTTGCATATTATTCTACTTTGAGAAACTGGCTAAGAATTCTGCTCATATTTGATAGTGTTTGGTTCAAGAAGACAAGTTGGTAATTTGACCCCCCCCCCCCCCAAAAAAAAAAAAACGTGATCTTTGCGCCAAGGTCTTTCATCATTTAAAGGCGACATGTTTGAAGACCCTTACAGCCAACATAGCTTTCAGTTTTCGTATTGGAATAGCTCAGGTTAAGGCAGCCACCAGAACCCATTGAAACACTTTACTGTCCAGAACACAATTCCCAAGACAAAATCTACATTATTCCGTTCCAATATGAGTTACATAAAAAAAATAATAATATTGTAAAGTTCTATCCCGGCTGGATTCCAATTTACGTTGTAACCGTCGTCGGGGGCCCTAAAATAACCTTACGGTTAAACGGTGTTTCTGGGATTTGCGACAGGGGGAGGATTCTTTTCTGGTTAGTGGCACTTTGTGTCACCGGGTGTTAACCGCTGGGATGGTGGGCCTGGTGGGGTTAAACATCACTCACTCAACCTCATTGCGTGACAGAAGCATAACGCTGTTTTTTTTTCTGTAAGTTGACCCTAAAAAGAACTCATGGAGTGTTGATGCGATCAAAGGGGATAGATCCAAATACTTTACCGACCTGCGACGAAGTCGTCTACCGGCGAGAAAATATGCGACTCGGTCACCGTCAATAGCAATCGCTATCTAACAATCGCAGAAGTGAAACAGAAGTCAAGAAAAGAATAGAGATGGCCAAAAACATTTTCAACAACATGCAAAAGTTACTGACATAAAGAGAAATAAGCAATACATTAAAAATGAGAATTGTCAAATGTTATGTATTCTCAACCTTACTGTATGGCACAGAGACATGGACAATGAACAAACAAGTGGAAAATCGTATCAATTCTTTGGAGATGTGGATATACAGAAGATTAGGTCATATTTCATGGAAACAAAAGCTATCAAACACAGAGTTACTCAGGAAATTGGGAATGTAAAGAGAGTTGCTAGGTGAAAAAAAAAAAAGAGACAAGTGAAATATTTTGGTCACATTAAAAGACATAACAGTATTGTAAAGATCATCCTAGAGGGAAAGGTTCAAGGTAGGCGGGCAAGAGGCAGACAGCGTTACAAGTGGGGGGATAACATTAAGAGATGGACGAGTGTACATCAAGGGCAAGAGACAGGGCTTGTTGGAGATCCATTGCGGCCAACATTCATTGTGGAGAAGGCACCTGATTGATTGATCTAACAATCAATGAATCGCAACCACCCCTCCCACCGACGTTTAACGGCAAAAGTGTTATTGATGATGATGTTACCCATACTTTATGCGTCTTTTTTAAACAGAAGAGTGGCTTGGCTATCGGAAGTTGATATTTGGGTGCCTGAATGTGAATTGTTTTCACGTTTACATCGTTTTCTGTTAGTGAACTCTGTTTAACTGTTTATTAGTGGTATCTCTGTGAACTTGTTTTTACAAGACTTCAGGTTATGGCAGATTCGTACGACAGACATCGGCGGCGGCGACGTCGAGATCGTTTGGAGTACGGGAGACACAGTGAGGACGTTTCGCCAGCAGCCAGCAAGCCGCCGGTGACAATTCTGGGCTTGGCTAAACCAACAAGAAGTAGTATTGTAAGTACTACTACTACTACTAGTACCGTAAGTACTACTACCACGACAGCAACAACCATGATGACTGGTTCAAGTGTTGGCGATAATGTGGTTAATATAGGAACAGATCCTGATGTTTCTGATAATGTTGCTCATCAACTTTTAGAGCTGACAATTGATGCGGCACCGGGTACGGATAAAACATCTGTGGTGACGGAGGGTAAACCTCGCTTGACTGCTGTGAAATCAGCAGAATTGGACTCAACAGAAATACCTCGCTCGCAGCTGGAAGAAAGCTCTCACACTACAGATGACGCTTCTGTTGGCATGACGAGGAGGGTGTCTGCAGCTAGCACTGTAGGAAACATCATCAGTGGGGTCATTGACCAAAGCGCACAAACTCAGTTAAAGTTAGCACCACCACTTGAGAAACAAACAACAGTCAAGATGATAGACAGTAGCTTTCAGTGGACAGACAGTGGACATGACCTGATGTTAGATCACACAGATCTGTTAGTGGTCGGTATCATTGGTCTGCAGGGGTGTGGCAAATCCACCTTGCTGTCGCTTCTAGCCGGCAACACAAATCAAGATGCCTACAGAAACTATGTGTTTTTTCCACAAACAAAAGAAGCGAAGGAGGATTGTTTATATCAGACGTCGGGGGTGGACATGTTTGTCTCTACAGAAAGAATTATTTTGCTGGACACTCAGCCTCTTGTGAGTGTTGCTATGATGGATGGTATGTTGAGGTATGAGAGAAAAATTCCCCCCGAATATTCATCTCATCTTAACTTTATCGAGGTACAGTCGGTGCAGCTTTTGACTTTCATGTTGTCGGTTTGTAATGTCATCCTAGTTGCTGATGATTGGTTTATAGATTTGAATTTATTAAAAGTGATTCAGGATGCAGAAATGCTGAAGCCTTCTACTCAAGCCTCATCATCGACTGCTGACAACTCATCCACGAGAGAGGATGGGCTTGATTTCTATCCGACTGTAATCTTCATCCACAACAAAGCTTGTCGTGATGACTTCACCCCTGAAGCCTATTTTTCCATGCAACAGGTGCTACTCAAGATGTTCTCCTCCTCAAAGCTGAAAATTAAAAGTGGAATCACTATGACCAGCAGTATCCTTGGTGAGCCGCTGATTCAGCCGTTACCTGGCACAGAGGAGAGTGAAGCCAGAGACGTGAACCTGCTTCTGATCCCCACAATGGAGTTCTACAAATCGGAGCCTGATTTCCTGGAGACCACACTTCCAGAGTACAGAGGCTATCCCAGTTTTAGCACCATCTTGTCATTTTTCAGAGCACAGATCCTGTCCTCGCCTCGTTCACCTATGACCAACACAATTCTCTCTGAGAAGAACTGGTATCATTTTGCTGCCAGGATGTGGGAGTCAGTGAAGAAATCCAGCCTCATTGCTGAATATAACAGACTGTTGGCATCGACTTCTTAGTGTCTGGTGTCAGTGTTGTCATTAGTTTCATCAATGCAGTGCCAAATGTCTTCCTTGTAGTTGAATGTTTTGAGGAGCTGCAGGACAACCTATTATGCTCTCATTTGGGAGGCTCAGTTTTGAATCTTGGGTAGAGTTAATTATTTTTCTGTTGTGGCAAAAATCAAATCTTAACCTCCACAAGTTTCTATATTGTAGTTACAGTTTTGTACGTTATTTCTTCATTGTCATCATCATCAAGTTGGGCCATCTATATGACACATATGGCTGACAGTCTATTTCTCCATTCCATTCTAACTTATGTACTCCTTTCGAATTTGTGGGTGGAATCCCATTCAGCACCTTTGGTTTCTCTTTATCGACGTTCATTTCAGGGTATCTTGTAGATATTCTAGTCTCCTGTCCACCTGTTTCTCATTGCAGTGCCTGTTTGGTGATTATCTGCCATCATCTTTTTATAAAAAATTATGATACAAACGGTTGTTCAGACATTTCACTTATTTATTTACATTTTTCTAAATTTACCTTGTTTAATGTTCATTACAATGTTTCTGGTTTGCTACCAGTTGATTATATTGAAGTTGATGTATATCGCTTTCTGTTGTTTATATGTCTCCAACTTATTGTTGTTGTACTCAAGATCTTTACTTGCTAGCTGGTTTGAATTTGTCAGCTCCTGGAAAAGAAAAGTACCTGGCCACTGACGTGACTTTTGTGTCAGGTCATAAACCTTGTGATCTGAGTTAGGAAAGGGAAAGGTTTTGAGAAAGGGACCTGTTCAGCAGACCTGATAAAGTCATGACTGTTTGTATGTGTCCATTTGCATGTGTGTCCATATGTTTGTGTGAAATTCCACTGTTGGACTTGCATAACAGTATTTACTGTCAGACCATCTGTACACAGGGGATCTGCATGGTGAAGTGATCAAGCATTTGCCTAGCGCTGAGGTCATGGGTTCATCCTGGCTGCATCGTTTAGTTCATGTGTAGGATGTTTAAATAAAGCTATGGAGTTTGTGCTTTGTTTGATGCTGTCGGCAGGTGGCTAACTGTTCTGCAGAGAAAGACCAAGCCATATGGGATAAGCAGTGCGAGTTGATCCTGTCATCTTTAAAGCTTATCTTTACGATCGGACCGTCTTTAGCTGAGACGTCAAAGTTTTTTAATTGAAGTTCAAAGTTTTTGAAAGATTAATTCAGTAGGCGGTGAGTAGAAGTTCTGGAAGATATTCAGCACTGAGAGAGAAAATAAACTGACTTTAAATCTGGTTGCAACTAAAAGTATTAGCATGTGGAATGTCCAGTATTAGCATGTGGAATGTCCAGTATAACCATGTAGAATGTTCAGTATAACCATATGGAATGTCCGTGGTGCAGTAATGTTCGTCCTTGATTCATTAATTTATTTGAAGAGGCACTATTGACTATAGATTAATAATATGGAATTGTGAGGCGAGTGAACGTAGTGTATTGTAAATTAGAACAATTGACTAAACATTTATCCTCAAGTGGGTTTTGAGGCCGTTTTTGGGGGGTGAGTGGGACGGGCGGGAAGAATAGACCTCCTGCTTTGTAAAGTATATTGTGAAAGATGACAAATAAGGTGTTTACTGGAATCAAATATGTTAGGCCGAAAGGAGCACATATCACAGCCCAACTGTAAACCAGAATATAATGTGGAAGCCACAGTTTTAGGACAAACCGCAGGAAAAGAACACTAGACACAGATGTGTGTGGTGGGTGAAGTTGGCTGTGGTTTATGAGGGAGGCGGTCACATCATCATCATCATGTGCCCTGCCCAGCAGCATAGGCGCTGATGTCTCTCCACAGATTTTGGTCTTTGGTATTTTGTGAATCATCCTGATGATAATTTCACTATGGCATCACCTCAGACCATGAGGCATCGTCTCTCTTGATTAACCTCTATCTCTTTTTCCATTGATCTTTCCAGTCATCATCTCTTCTTATCACATGACTTAAAAAACACTGATAGTCTCTTTCTTGAAGTTGTATATAGTGTTCTAATTTCATTAATAGTTTCAACGCAGTTGTTAGTCACTTTGTCTGTCCGCAGTATACATCTATAAAACCTCATCTCCATGGTCTCCAAGTGCTTCTTTATTTGTTCATTTCCAGCTGTACAGCAACATTACAGCTGGTGAACATGAAGAAGACGGTTTCAGATCTCAGTCAGTATAGTCAAGAATTCACATCACAGCACTCGGGGCATTCCCATGCATGCTCCATCCTCATCTTCAGCAGCTAGGGCAGAGTTCCAATACTAATGGTACCGGTCGCAATCTGGTTATATGTCCGTCTTGCCTTTTCCCAGAATGTAGTGAGCCGGTCAGACCCCCTGGTTACATGCAGGTGTCTTATTCTCTCCAGGCCATGATAATCTTGTTTTGCTTCTGATTCCGTTGCTTGTTTCCCTAACCACATCTGCCTTGTCATGTATCGATTCACCACCCTGTGGTGCAGATCCAGCCAATCTGTCTGCCTGTCCATTCCCCACCATGCCAGCATAGCTTGGAGAAAAGATCTAAAGTATTCTCACTACCCGTGACCTTCCCAGTGAAGCTTGTCACTCTGAAGACATGCTGAGAAAGGTGAAGACAGGGATGTTTCTAGCAGAGTGGCAAGCTTCACTGGGAATTTCACGGGTAGTGAGCATACTTTAGATCTTTTCTCCAAGCTATGCTGTCTTCACCTTTCTCAGCATACTTTCAGAGTCTGTTACAGTTATGACATGTGTATGCATCTTGTTCTCTAGCCACCGGAAAGCTGCAGTTACCACCATCACCTCCATTCTCATGTTAGACGTGGTGGTATCGTATCTGTCATTAATCATGTACTACAAACCTGCATCCCAGGTTAGACCGGTTGACATTCCATTTAAAACCAAGCTGTATGGATCAGTTGAAGACATGCGTTGCAGCACATACTTCCTAGACTTCTCATCTGCAAACCATTTGCAGGCAGAACGAAAAAAAGACAATTTAAGACTTCATAAATTTTAAGTTGTCAACTTGTAGAGGATAGACACTTACCATCTGGCCCAAAAGCCTTAGGTTCAAAGCCATGTCATTGGATACCAAAAAAAATGACCATAGCTGCCTGATTGGCCCAGCATAAGATGATGGCTACCAGGTAAAAGTTCTAGCAAGTAAAGGCAGCCAAAGTGATTTTTGAATGCAACAAGTGCTGATTGGTCTGTACAAAAATATATGTCTAGCACCTTATCGCCGATGTTCCACAGATGTAAAAAGGATCCATTATTTTGCTTTTGTAACTTGTAGATCAGTCACATCTTTGGTTGACAGATTCACTAACACATTACTGAAGCAGTTAAGCAGGGGTTCAGGAAACAAAAAATAACAGTTTTTTTTATATAAATTGTTTATCAAAGAACATCTTTCAATGTCTGATAATATCCAAAACATCTTTCATATAAAAATTGTTAATTAAAGAACATCTGTCAATGTCTGTAAATATCCAAAACATCTTTCATATAAACTGTTTATCAAAGAAAATCTTTCAGCATCTGTAAATATCCAAAACATCTTTCATATAAATTGTTTATCAAAGAACATTTTTCAACATCTGTAAATATCCAAAACATCTTTCATATAATCATCGAACATATTTTTACAACTGTGCAAATTAAACATCTTTCAACAGTTACATGTTGAAGTATTCATATGGCATACAGTTTAACATAACATGAGTTGATGAATAATATATATATTTACAAATATATTCATGTGCTTCATGGTATTATCCTTATCACAGTTCGCTTATATGGGGTAACCACTATGAGAGCAGATCTGTTTCATGAATATCTTACGGATATTCACAGTGGGGCTCCTGAACCAATCTCCCTCCATTTTAATAGTTCTGAGTGCCAAGGTAAAGGGGATATCTCGGTTACTGCAATAAAATCTTGCTCCAGTGACCACACCAGCCTCTAGTCATTAAAGATTAGTTTAATTAGGTTTTGCCTCCACAATAGGCATGTTGTAGAAGTCGACTACTTAGGGATTTTTCCTCCAAGGTCAGAGCATATATGTCTGAATGGTGAGGAACCAACAGTCTGCAAACAAGGAAGCCATTTCTGTAAAATGTATGTGCACACAAAACTGCAGTTCTGAAACAAGACTATAAGTCCAGAAGTGGACTGACAACCAGAACTATCCACCAGAGTTTACACCAGGCGAACGCAAAGAAGAGGAAGAAGATATTGATGCAAAAAATGATGGCTGTCTATATATGCTCAATTAAAACTTGGCAGACATCCTGTCATCTCTTAGAGTTTTTCGACTTGTGGTAGACTTGTTTGAGTTTTTCCAAGTTGAGTTTTGCCAGCCCGTTGCTAGGTTCCAGCTTCAGAGCCTGCAGGTAGCGACTTTCAGCTTGCCTGAAGTTTTTCTGAAAAATTGACGACTAAACTGAGATAAATCTACAGAAGTGCTCACTCACTTTGGTATTATGTGATACCCACCCCTCCCCCCTCTTCTCCCTTTTTGAACAAGGAAAGTCTGTACAGTGCCAAAATAAACTTAATTTAACATTCACCCGCCGTAAACTCCGGTGGAAAGTTCTGGTTGTTTGTCCACTCTTGGACTTTGGTCTTAATCAAGAAGTTGAATTTTGCATGCACATCAGTTTTACAGATCTGACTAATTTGTATGCAGACTGTTGGCTCTGAGACATATACCCTCACTTTGAAACACCCCCCCCCCCCAATTAGTCGCCTCCTATGTGATGCTCATTGGGGGGTCTGTTCTTTGTTCTCCATAATGAAAGCCCCCTCCCCCAAACCCAATAATGTTATAGGGAGGGCTGATTCCCCAACCCTGCCCCTCTTTCCTTATCACAGCAGTTCTCAACCCTTTTGGAAGGGGGGGGGGGGGGGAGGGTGGTCGAACAACTATTTCACAGAGGTCGCATAAGGTCACTGGAAAACAGGTATTCACTGAAGTTATGAAGTAGCAGGGAAAATAATTTATGAAGGTGGTCACCACAAAATGAGGAACTGTATTAAAGCGAGGTGGCGTTAGGATTGTTGAGAACCCTAGCAGGTCCTCGAAGTGCCCCTCTCCCCATTTGGCAACCATATATAATAGACGTTCTCTTTGTTAAGTATTTGTCTATACATTTTATATATTTAATATATATAACTGTATTTAACACCCACCAGGCCTTGTTATTAAGATTATTATTGCCTACTAAAAGAAGGCCTAAGTCCCTTGAGCCCCATATTTAGACATTCTCTTGTTAATTATTTGCCTGAACATTTTATATAATTTCAAATATTGTATTTCCTATTTGGCACTTTCCAATTCGTCCCAAAAAAATTTCAAATTTGATCCTTTTTCAGCCGCCCGGAGGCCTGCTATTTTTATTATTGCACACTTAAACAAGGCTTGAGCAGTGTTTTGGCCCCTTTACCTTCCTGTCACGCTCAGACATTACACAATCCAGCTGTCTTGCCGTACAACTTAGATCATAACATTTTGTGTTTGTGTGTAGTTTCCATCTTTTGCAGTTTCCTTCTATCCTCGTATTACTTATCTCTGCCCCTTGTTTCCCACGTATGTTTAGGTATCTGTTTATTTTCCCTTGCTGGTGCTAGAGAAAGATCTTTCTAGTTATCAACATATTTTTTTTTCAGTGTGCACCGTACCTAGTTTCTTCTCTCACATTCTGTCTACTACTTCTGCTTTTCCCAGCTGTAAACTGAGGACGGGAAATCCTGGCTGTTCCTCCATTTCTGGACGTTTTGTTCCAGGACTTGGGTGTTGTGTGCACATCCATTTGATACATCTGGCTTATTTGTGTGCTGAGAGTTCTACCTCTCCTCTGAGGCAGATGTGCTTCGACTTTGAAGGAGCCATTAATCCTATGGTAGCCCCCAACCCCCGGAAGAGAACGTGTCTCCAGCATAATCACAGAGATGTATATAGATCTTGACCAGTCTGAGTCCTGATCCTGGAGAGATGTAGATAGATCTTGACCAGTCTGAGTACTGATCCTGGAGAGATGTAGATAGATCTTGACCAGTCTGAGTCCTGGTCCTGGAGAAATGTAGATAGATCTTGACCAGTCTAAGTCCTGGTCCTGGAGAGATGTAGATAGATCATGACCCCTGGAGAAATGTAGACAGATCATGACCAGTCTAAGTCCTGGTCCTGGAGAGATGTAGATAGATCATGACCAGTCTTAAGTCCTGGAGAGATGTAGATAGATCATGACCAGTCTAAGTCCTGGTCCTGGAGAGATGTAGATAGATCATGACCAGTCTTAAGTCCTGGAGAGATGTAGATAGATCATGACCAGTCTTAAGTCCTGGAGAGATGTAGATAGATCATGACCAGTCTTAAGTCCTGGAGAGATGTAGATAGATCATGACCAGTCTTAAGTCCTGGAGAGATGTAGATACATCATGACCAGTCTTAAGTCCTGGAGAGATGTAGATAGATCATGACCAGTCTAAGTCCTGGTCCTGGAGAGATGTAGATAGATCATGACCAGTCTCAAGTCCTGGAGAGATGTAGATAGATCATGACCAGTCTTAAGTCCTGGAGAGATGTAGATAGATCATGACCAGTCTAAGTCCTGGTCCTGGAGAGATGTAGATAGATCATGACCAGTCTAAGTCCTGGAGAGATGTAGATAGATCATGACCAGTCTTAAGTCCTGGAGAGATGTAGATAGATCATGACCAGTCTAAGTCCTGGTCCTGGAGAGATGTAGATAGATCATGACCAGTCTAAGTCCTGGTCCTGGAGAGATGTAGATAGATCATGACCAGTCTAAGTCCTGGTCCTGGAGAGATGTAGATAGATCATGACCAGTCTTAAGTCCTGGAGAGATGTAGATAGATCATGACCAGTCTAAGTCCTGGTCCTGGAGAGATGTAGATAGATCATGACCAGTCTTAAGTCCTGGAGAGATGTAGATAGATCATGACCAGTCTTAAGTCCTGGAGAGATGTAGATAGATCATGACCAGTCTTAAGTCCTGGAGAGATGTAGATAGATCATGACCAGTCTAAGTCCTGGTCCTGGAGAGATGTAGATAGATCATGACCAGTCTCAAGTCCTGGAGAGATGTAGATAGATCATGACCAAACTTAAGTCCTGGAGAGATGTAGATAGATCATGACCAGTCTTAAGTCCTTGAGAGATGTAGATAGATCATGACCAGTCTAAGTCCTGGTCCTGGAGAGATGTAGATAGATCATGACCAGTCTAAGTCCTGGAGAGATGTAGATAGATCATGACCAGTCTTAAGTCCTGGAGAGATGTAGATAGATCATGACCAGTCTAAGTCCTGGTCCTGGAGAGATGTAGATAGATCATGACCAGTCTAAGTCCTGGTCCTGGAGAGATGTAGATAGATCATGACCAGTCTAAGTCCTGGTCCTGGAGAGATGTAGATAGATCATGACCAGTCTTAAGTCCTGGAGAGATGTAGATAGATCATGACCAGTCTAAGTCCTGGTCCTGGAGAGATGTAGATAGATCATGACCAGTCTTAAGTCCTGGAGAGATGTAGATAGATCATGACCAGTCTTAAGTCCTGGAGAGATGTAGATAGATCATGACCAGTCTTAAGTCCTGGAGAGATGTAGATAGATCATGACCAGTCTTAAGTCCTGGAGAGATGTAGATAGATCATGACCAGTCTTAAGTCCTGGAGAGATGTAGATAGATCATGACCAGTCTAAGTCCTGGTCCTGGAGAGATGTAGATAGATCATGACCAGTCTCAAGTCCTGGAGAGATGTAGATAGATCATGACCAGTCTTAAGTCCTGGAGAGATGTAGATAGATCATGACCAGTCTTAAGTCCTGGAGAGATGTAGATAGATCATGACCAGTCTAAGTCCTGGTCCTGGAGAGATGTAGATAGATCATGACCAGTCTAAGTCCTGGAGAGATGTAGATAGATCATGACCAGTCTTAAGTCCTGGAGAGATGTAGATAGATCATGACCAGTCTAAGTCCTGGTCCTGGAGAGATGTAGATAGATCATGACCAGTCTAAGTCCTGGTCCTGGAGAGATGTAGATAGATCATGACCAGTCTAAGTCCTGGTCCTGGAGAGATGTAGATAGATCATGACCAGTCTTAAGTCCTGGAGAGATGTAGATAGATCATGACCAGTCTAAGTCCTGGTCCTGGAGAGATGTAGATAGATCATGACCAGTCTTAAGTCCTGGAGAGATGTAGATAGATCATGACCAGTCTTAAGTCCTGGAGAGATGTAGATAGATCATGACCAGTCTTAAGTCCTGGAGAGATGTAGATAGATCATGACCAGTCTTAAGTCCTGGAGAGATGTAGATAGATCATGACCAGTCTTAAGTCCTGGAGAGATGTAGATAGATCATGACCAGTCTAAGTCCTGGTCCTGGAGAGATGTAGATAGATCATGACCAGTCTCAAGTCCTGGAGAGATGTAGATAGATCATGACCAGTCTTAAGTCCTGGAGAGATGTAGATAGATCATGACCAGTCTTAAGTCCTGGAGAGATGTAGATAGACCTTGACTAGTTTGAGTCCTGGTGCACCTCCTCATCCCTTACACTTCTTCTCCTCCTTCTTCTTTGTGTTCACCGACTGTAAACTCCATTGGAAACTTCTGTGTGTTCATCCACCTACAGACTTTAGTATTATTCCAGAATATGAGTGTTGCATGCAGATCTGTTTCACACATCTGGCTTATTTGTATGCGAACTCTTGACTCCTTGCCTCTTATGCATCTGTACTCTGACTTCAAATGATGCCCCCACTTAGTTGACTGCTACAACATACTTGTTTGGGGAGGCAGTGGATCAATTCTTGTTCTCCCCCCCCCCCCCCAGATCCCCAATGGGGCCCCAGAAGCCACATGGGGATCACCTTTCTTGATGTACTGTAATTTGTTTAGTTTCCTTTATGAACTCCACACTGGTGATCCAATTATGCCATTTTCAACCTTCTATTCTGTGCAGATGCCAACTATCACATGTTCACAGATGACTGCTGTGGTTATTTTTTCTTATTACATTTGTCTTTTTCCTAAAGATAAAACTTACTTGAAGGAAATAAAAGCTCCCAGCATCAATAATGGCTTCCACATTGGTTGAGTTAAACTGTATAGCTTTCTCTATTGCCTGCGGTACAAGACGAACATAAGTGACTACACAAGTAGAATAATGTATGCTTCTCAGAAAACTACAAAGGAATAAAATGGGCTTCTGAATGAACTACGACTAGAATAATTTAGGCTTCTCTGTGAACTACAAATAGAATAGTGTAAGATGCTTGATGAACTGCAAACAGAATAATGTAAGATTCTCTTTAACTACAATAGAATAATATAGTATTCTCGATGAACAACAAATAGAATAATATAGTATTTTTGATGAACTACTACAGGTAGAATAATTATAGCATTCTTGATGAACTACAAATAAAATAGTATTTTCTATGAACTAAAAATAGAATAATTTAGTTTTCTTGATGAGCTTCAAATAGAATAATATAGTATTCTCGATGAACTACTACAGATAAAATAATATAGTATTCTCGATGAACTACAATAGAATAATGTAGTATTCTCAATAAACTACTACAGGTAGAATATTGTGGTATTCTTTATGAACTTCAAGTCAAATAATATAGTATTCTCTATGAACTACTACAAATAAAATAATATAGGATTCTCGATGAACTACTAAAAATAGAATAGTGTTGGATTTTTTTAAGAATAACGTAGGATTCTCGATGAATTAAAAGTAGAATATTGAAGGCTTCTCTGTGAACTACAAGTAAAGTAAACTATTACAGGCTTCTTAGTGAACTAGATTACTAGTAGTACTATGCAAACATATCACTAAACTTCTTTACAAATAGAACTCTACAAACATATCAGTGAGCTGCATGACGAAAAAAATTAGAAGCAATTTACTACTTTCTTTACATTTTTTCATATTCTTTCTATGAAAAAACCTCCTTTCACACAGTTGACTGAATTAAGTTTAGTTTATGTCCTTTTCTTTAGGCTTGTTTAAAACTGGTTAGATTTTGTAGGACTACTAATCATCAACATCATGTGCTGTGCTGGTAAGCGTAGGCTGTCATCTCAAACAGCCATCAGAATCACAGAGAAGTTCAATATTTTTATCTTGTCCATTCCATCTGACCATGCTATCCAGGTATTAATCTCTTTGCTCGCTTTCCATCAAACTTCTCAGTTGTTACAAGGTTCTCAAGTCTATTTCATGCAAACATTATTGATTGTCTTACATCTTCTTTTTCTTTTTTGTTCGCTGGCTGTAAGCTCCAGCGGAAAATCCTGGTTGAGAATCCATATCGTCTTTGTGCCAGGGCCTGAGTTTAAGTGCACATCCGTTTTACTGGCTTAAGTGTGTGCAGTTGGTTGTTTCTTGCTGCTCAGGCAGACGTAAGACTTCGAAGAGAGACCCCAGTTAGTCAACTCCTAGGACATGCTTGTTGGGGAGGCAGTGGATCTATTCTTGTTTCCCCACAATGGGGCCCCAGAACCCATTCGAGGAGCCTACATCTAATTGTTCTAATCAGTTTTTGACTTTCATCTATCTCGATGACTGCTTTGATTTTTTTTTCTTTCTATTTTTCAATGATATTCCTTGCATTTTTCTCAGAAACCACATCTCTGCCGCGAGTAAATTTTTTTCAGCTTGTCTTCTTATTGTCCATGTTTCACATGCATAAAACAACACAGATATTACACAACACTTTTGGTTATTTCCTAATATTTCAGGGGGCAGTAGATGTAGTAATTTGGCAGTTCATTTTCTGTGCAGTTCTGTGCTGTGAAGTTTTCATTTGTGTGTGTTTCTGTTGTGTCTGCAGTCCAATTTTCTGCCTTGCATTCTTTTTATATTCTTTTTATGTGTGTGTGTTGTGGACTCTATGTGCAGTCGGGAGGTTGCAGTTTTTGTGTGTGTGAGGTGTTTTTGTTTTGTTTTTGAGGATGCAATTTTTGGAGCTGTTTTGCAATTTGTTTGCACAACTCTTTAACACTCTTTTTCTCACTGCCAGTGAGGACTGCATCAGACAACAAACCTGGAGTGCACTGACTGGGTCATTCATGTGCCTGTACACCTCCGCAAGATCTCGGTACAGACCGCTCAGGGAGTTATCTCCAGCAGACGTTACAAGACTGATAACCTCTTGGATATGCTGGAGTGCCTGTATGAGAAATCAAACCAGACATTATGTCCCTGGGAACATACAAGATAATGATGAGGGGAACAAATTTGTTTGTGATGGGTTGACATGTGCAGTAACCAACAGTGAAGCAGGTGTTAGCTAACAAACAAGAAAACACTTTTTTTAAAGGGGTTGGGGTTTAGTGTGTGCTTAGCCTACTTACACATTTTCAAGGAAGTCCTCAATTTGCCTAAGCCTTGCTTAAATGCGTAATAATAATAATATTTAAAAAAATAAAATTCTGCTTCTTCTTCGTCGTCTTCTTCTGCTTCTTTGCATTCACTAGCTCCAAATTCTGGCGAAAAGTTCTGAATTTTCATCCGCTTCTGAACTTAGGCCATGTTCCAGACCTTGGGTTTTGCATGCACACCTGTTCTACAGTTCTAGCTTATTTGTGTGCAGACTGTTGGTTCCTTGCCTTTTGGTACCTCAAAAAAAAAAAACATCCATAATTAGTTGCCCTGTACGACATGCTTGTCTATTCTTCCTGCCTTCCCCCTCACCAACAAGGCCAGGGAACGCAAATGGAAGACTATATATTTTATATATATATACTAGCTCTACCTGGTCACGCGTTGCTGTGGCATAATTTGGCTAAATGGAAATGAAAGAAAATAGAAATCGCACGTGTCTAATACAATCATTATCTGCTCAGATATAGAAATAGTCTTTGATCTCCCCCCCCCCCCCCAACTAAATCCACCTACTACTCTCTCCCTCATCAAAGGTTTTTGGAAAAGAAAGACAATGGAAATCGCTCGTGTCTAATATAATTAATGTCGCAATCATTCTCTGCACAGATATAGAGATAGTCTGGTTTTCCAACTTTAGAAAACGCACCATATAATTGTGTCTTTATATTAGTGGTCGTTTAAATGGTGTTATTAGCACAGTAACAAAAATGGTTTTTTGGGTATCACATGCTAAAGCTGTTTGTATTTTTATAGGAGACGGAAGTAAAGCTACAGCTGTACTTGTAAATAACAAAGTCAGTCGTAAAAAAAATTGAAAAGCGGAGGTAGTGTTAGTGAAATATAAACAAATTAAGTAATGAGAACTTGAAAATCACGCGTTAAGCTCTTTAAGTTCTCTTAAATTTAGGTCATTACACACCTCCCCTCCCCTCTTCCACCGACTACTGCTCTCTCCCTCTTCAAAGGATTTTAAAATCATCACCTGGCGATATTTTGTTGTTGTTGTAACTGACATTGACATCCCTGTCCATCCAGACTAAAATGGGGAGCAGGAATTGTAACAGGCAGTGAATGGGGCTAGTGTAATATTTACCACATCATCCTTTAAGTACCAGTACAACTACTACCACGACCACCACCACAGTAGCTAAACTAATGTCACGGCTATCTGTTTTACCATCGGAGTAGACAGGGAGTCGTGAGCCAGAAGATTTTGTACCGCATAGCTAGTGCTGTCGCCACGGACTGGTCAGGTTAGGATGTAAAATTTTGCTTCCCGACATAAGAACGCCATAACCTTACCGGCGGTCTTCACATGAGAGCACTACGGTGTAACAGCCCAACCACAACTACTACTGCTGCTGCTACTTTGAGTGGGTAAAGCAGTTACTGTGACTTAAAGCTCTCTCAGTAAACAGTTTGCACCCCCCCCCCCCCAAAATTCACCGACTACTCTTTCCCTCATTGAAGTAGTTGGGAGAAAAAAAACCCAATTGTACACCATAATTAGGAAATGAAAGCTATAGTAAACAGCACAGCTTAAAATTCCAACGCAGATGAAATAATAAAATCTAAATGACAATAAATGGAAAGCTATGAAATTTCCGCGTAACCATGCAGTTGTAAAGTTTAAAAATGAAATCATAAGTATGCGAAATGGTCAAATTTAATTATCAACTGATTTTACCAATATACCTGTCCTATTTTCTTTTTTAGTATTAAGGGCTACATAGCTAGTGCTGTCGCCACGACAGTGCAGGTGAGGATTTGTTTACACTACTGCGGATTCGAACCCTGGTCTCCCGGACAGGAGCCCAGTGTTCTAACCATTTGACCAAGCAGCCACTTCATCAGAGAAACGAAAAGAGAACAAAACTATTTAAGATGTGTGTCCCTACTACAGTGTCCCGATTATAATACAACTCAAAACAGCAGGCAATTGTTTTCTCATGGACAGATATTCCAGATATATTATTGAAACGGCACAATAAGAGAAATCGCACGTGTAACATGGTTAATGTCGCAGTCAATGTCTGCGCTGACGTCGAGATAGGCCTTGATGCCCCCCCCCCTCCCTTTTTCCCTTAAAATCCATCGGCTACTTTCCAACTCATAGAAGGTTGTTTGAAAAAAAAAACCATAAAATAGAAATCGTGTTTAATATGGTTATTGTGGCAATCATTGCCTGCACAGATATAGAGATAGTCTTGTTTGCTGTACCACGGCCTACTCTATTTATTAGAGAAGGAGTTGGCTGTACGTATCTCGCCAGCGAATGGTGGAAGTCTTGCGTTCTGACTACGGCGCATGCGCATTTACTAACGTGGCTATAATTAACTGTCACTAAAAATGTAAATATTAGTTTCGAAGATTTTCCCAAAAATTGTCCCACACTATCTCTAACAATGACAGGTTGAATTTTAAACCATGATGGGTAAACATCCGGTATCAAAACAAACATATACTGAAAATTTCAGCTAAATCGGTTCAGTAGTTTCCGAGTCTATAGCTCATAAACAAAACACACAAACATTCATTTATATATATATATATATATATATATATATATATATATATATATATATATATATATATATATATATATATATATATATATATATATATGTTGTTGTTGTTATCGATCCAGCGGCGCATGAGCTTTCGCCCTTTGGCCCAATGCCATGTAGTGGAATTTGCATGTTTTCACAAGCTGTTCTTTTCCTCCGTACAAGGTGTTCCACTTGTCTGGTCTCGGAGGGAGTAGCGTTCTTCTTGTCTCACTGAGTTTTGGGCACTCAAAGAGATGGTGTTCAACAGTTTCGTAGGGGTAGTTACATAGCTGGCACTCTGGGGAGTGTTGTGGCTGTATTCTGTTTAGGTGTCCATTGAGTGGAGTATGTTGCGTTCTAAGTCTGAAGATGGTGGCCTGGTCCCTTCTTGTTAGATGGTTAATGCTGTCATTAGGATCAGGGCCAGACATATGTCTATAAACCTCTCTTCCAGTGTCCCCCATGGCCCATCTGTTCAACCAAGTCTCTTTGTTTATAGCTCTTATCAGTGTTTTTGCTGTCTGGAGGGTTGTCGCTGTAGGTGGTTGTTCTTGTGTTGCTCCTTTCTTTGCCAATCTGTCAGCTCTGTCATTACCTGGTGTGCCGGAGTGACCTGGAATCCACTGCATCACTATTCTGATGTTGTATGAGGTAATAAGCTGATCAGCATCCAGGATTATCTTGGCTATGTCAGTTCTGCAGCGTTCATTGCCCTCCAGAGCTTGAAGGGCAGACATTGAATCTGTGAAGATGACAATATTTTGGACCTTTGAGGGGTAAACATCCATTACAGTCTTTAGGTGGTATACTGGTTTCCAGTGCAATTATTTCAGCTTCATAGTTTGAACAGAATTCCCCGCATGCATCAAAAATCTCTTCAACAGATCCATCGGGATATCCTATGTAGATTCTGTAACCTGCTTTAATGGTAGCTTTAAATGCTGATCCATCAGTATAGACATGTATCCATTCTTGGGGGTAAGAATCAACGGTCTTTAGTGATGAGTTCATAAGAGCGATTGGGTCGGACTGTTTGGTTTCCTCGCCTACCAATTTAGTTTGGACTTCTGGAGCTTTAAAGCGAGCATGTGGTGGTAGGTCTTTTGCAACATTCTGAATTCCTTGACGTCTTTCTGGGAGGTGGTATCTGTCCTGAATTTCATTAACACAGTGTAAAACCGATTTGTGCTTTATTCTTTGTTTGGATTCCCAGTTTTCTACAAGATGTCTATTAGGATGGTTACGATTTTTCCTAACGCTTCTTTCATAAATTTCTAAAGTGGCTTTTTTCTCTCCGCAACCCGAGGGGTTCCACATTTGTATGGATTTCACATGCAGCAGTTGGTGTAGACTGCATAGCTCCGCAGATTAATCGGAGGGCATTATTTTGTACTCTGTCAAGAGTCTCTAGGTTAGTTTTGGAGCAAGTTGTAAGCAGTGAGATGTTGTACTCTATCACAGAGCGAACATATCCTAGGTATAAGCCCCTCAGAGTTTCCTTGTCTGATCCCCA